TCACATGTTCTCTTTTTCTTTTAATATATAGTGTAATCTGTCATACGTCCGCATTTAAGAAGATCCTCTCCTTTCTTCATTTAAAATTTCAGTGTTTTGTGGTCATTGTATAGTTTCAAGTCGTATCTACCTTTTGGCTACATTTTAGAACCCAAAGATTCCAAAACGAATATTATTTACATAATGAACATAGCGAAAACTTGATATTATTTTGTGTTTTTCTCAAAACAATTTTCCATGAAAAAAAATGTACAAACATTTCCATTTCTCCAGCGTAATATGTCCAATCGAGCTGAAACCTTTATCCCATATACTAGACATTGTTTCAAAAATATAATGTTTTGCTGACTTTTGGTAGCTTTTACAAAAAGAGCTCCATTGAAAAAATACATGCGTTTTTTTATGGTACCTTCGACATTTGAGCTTGTTTCTTCGAAGGACAAAAATCAAAAGAAACTAAAAAAAATACTCACCCTAGGCATTGTCTAGCACCTTTGAAAAAAATGTTCAACTCAATCGAACACAACATCTTGAAGAAAAGGGTACGAAAATTGGGATCATTTTTCACCATTGTGACCTCAGTATCTCATAGAAGACGGCATCCGAGAATTTTGAATCTATGACAACTTTTGCTATACAGATCAAGATCTACTTGTCATGAAGATTTCAAAATTTTCAGATGAGCCGTTTTCCAAAAAATTCTGGAAACAGAAAGGATTACCCTTAAAAGAGTTTTTCTTCCGTTCTGTCGCTTGCTTCTATGTATTGATGAAGAAAAGAAAAGTCTTTTTTTCTCTTTCCTTCGACTATTTACTTGCTGCTTCTTTGTGATATACTCATTTGCGTTCCATCTTGCTTATAAAGTGATTATGTAAGTTAGCTGTTCACTTAAGTCTGCTTGCACTAAAAAGCAGTGTATATTTCAGTATTTGCAGTGCGTATCTTATCTAAATGTGTAAGAGTGAAGATAGCCACGTCAGATGAATCATTATTATTAAGGAAATAGTTAAAAATGAAAAAAACAACAACAAGACACTCAAGGTGTCATGTAATAGTTGCGAATGTTTTTCTTTAATTTGATATTCATTCAGTTAGTGTGATCACGATATCTACGATATAGGCGAAAATATAAGTTAAAGAGTCGCTCGTTATGAATTAGAATAGCTACATATTCAATAAATTATTCTTCAGTGAAAGGGTTTGTAAAAGAAAGTGTTTACTACGAGTATCCAATGACATGTTTGAGACACGTGAGTTTTCAGCTAACTGTGAAAAAAAAGTGCGAAATTTTAATAAATTTTCAAAATTGACTCAATAACACACAATAATTCTCAGACTTCGTAAAACCTCATTGCAACTTACAATTAAATCTCATCTTTCAATTCAGATACTCTGGCACTGATACAAATGAAAATAAATCTATTGATGAAGATTAAATAGAACATTTATCAACTATCACAGTTCGGATTCTAATTTTCTAAGTGTTAGAAACAGACTAGATAATTCATGGTTTACTATTTTCTTTGACAAATTCCTAAGTAAATCGTAATACTCAAAACCTACTTATCATCGTCCTCTTCTCAACATTGTTAATGTTTATAATTAAATTGAATTTTCTTTCTGATAGTTTATTAATTCATAATATTCGACTGAAAAATTAGGTTGATGTTAGATTAATATTTATTTGTTCATTTATTATCGGAAAATATTTCGGATGATTTCTTTCTCATGCGGCATTTCATATACTTTTACGTTAAGATTAAGTGAACATACTATTATTTATGTATCTGCCTATTTTTTTTAATTTTTTTTTCTAATAGTGAAATGGAAGATAAAAATACAGAAGTTGAATTGTACAGTATTACTATCTGGTGATTTTTGAATGTCAAAGTCAATGAGCTGTCGAATGCGAAAGAAATCCTCGAAAATATTTTCTGATAATAAATGATCATATAAATATTAATCTAACAGCAATCTAATTTATAAGTCGAATATAATCGATTAATTAATTAACAACAAAAGACTTGAATTAATTATCGACATTTAAATGAAATATGTAATGACTGTTAACAGACGTTTTTATGAGTACTATTCAAAATCGTTAAAAATATGTGATTCATCACCACAAACGCATTAGAACGGTGAAATTTTCAATAGCTCAGACCATTTAAACATAGAAAACATCTAAAAAAATTATCAGTCTTAAATATTTTCAACGTGTTTCTGGCAATTAATTAAACATTGTTTACGGTTTACATATTGAGATGTCTAAATATTGTTTTGACCGTTATCGTGTCTGTCGGCGTAATTTTAACACTTGGCAAACTAGGTTTTCCATTAACACTTATGAAAGATTTTTTTTTGAGTGAAAGGAAGAACAATATTGATTTATCTTGGAGCAGCAGTTTCGTGTCCAACTGCTATATTTGTTGGTGCTTCTCAAGAATTAGTCCTGTCAGTTATACTCTTCCGAATGCACATCCTCTGTCTTCTTTCTGTATGAATCTAATGTATCAATAATTTGCAGACGACCCAAACTATCGTTATATCTGGAGCTCTTGAGAACCACTTCTCTAAAAATGTTGTTGAACCAGAAAGATAGGCTAAGACAGCGATAAGTAAGAGGGTAAATACAGTGGCTGAGCACTAATTTTCACCATAAGATGCTTTGGTGCTCATATGTATTTGAAATTAGACTGAAAATCAAGATCATACCAATGAGTGAGAGTTATACTATTTTCATTCGATTTAATCAATCAAGACAAACATGTTTTCAGAAAATAAAGAGTTTTATAAAACTTGACTAAAAATTCGTCCCTTAACATAGATAATGTAAGAAAATATCACACAAAAAACCGACCTGTTGGAGTTATTTTGACTGCTTATTCATATTCATACAGGTAATTTAAAAATGCATCCTTTTCAACATATTCTTTTTGATAGATAAATATCCGTTCAACAGACGATAATTATTTCTAAAGAGTCAAATCGAACGTGATAAATATATTGTAATGTCATTCGTCAAATTTTCTTTTCTTTTTTGTTCTTTAATTGACTTTATTATATTTTATCATGCATTAAGGAACTATTTTTTTTGCATCATTTTTGCCGTTCTATTTTTCTAGTCATTTACCTATCAACAGAAGATCTCACTAGTTCATCCATTTATGATGATGATGATAATATCTTTACTTCTTATCTTTTTTGTTTTCTTCTTCTTATCCATTCCTGTCTGTGGCTGTTTGAATATCACTGGATCTTGAATCATCCTTTTCTTCGCGAATAATAGTCATTGCAAGTTAGTGTTGATCATGTGACCACTCGTTTGATCTTCTTTTCCTTCTGCCTATGGTAATGAATGATATATTCGGTACCTCTTCTCAATTAATAATATGATTTCGAATAGCTCTTTGACTTACTCTTAATGTCTTTTCTTCCTACGTTGTCAAACGCGTCATTAAGAAGCAAAAAAAGTCATGTTAAAAAAAAAAGAAACAATATGCTCCAAAGTTGTTGAAAGTAAGCCTTTTTCTTATTTTTTTCATCACATCAGTCACCATGATCAACACTATGGAAAAAGAAATATGTCTATCAATTCAGTGTCGGCATAACAAATATAGTCGAGTCCGCTTATAAGAGCGCGCTCGGTACCTCTAAACGAGGCTCTTATATGCGGACCGCTCCTTTATTCGAACTATAATTAAAACAGTGCAAAAATTGATTCTTGTCAACATTTATTAAGTAGGGCATAGGTATACATAAATTTACTTGAAGAAATCCGTGATTTTACTTTGAGTACGATTAATTAAAGCGTTCTTTTCGATCATGTCTTCGATATCATAATATGAATTATACTCTGTAAAATTCTCTTCCAAATACTTGCGAACCATTGAAAGATGCATCAGCGCATCTTTATGAGAGACACCTGGCATCAATTCATCAGCAATTCCGGCTTCTTCTTCGTCTTCTTCTTCTAAAATATATATTACCTTTTGCATGGATGAATATCTGATCCCTTTATTGAAGAAACAGCAAGTATATATACATAGGAGAGAGACAATAGATGGACTAGAGAAAAAGTCGAGAAGCTTCGTCCGACTGTTTAGAAAATGAATAATAGACAGAAAAAGACAATGGTTCTTCTTACTCAACAAAGACGTCAGTTAGGAAAAGTGAGTAAGACGAAAAAGAGCATACGTGCAACAGATGAATAGAAAAAGATAAGAACAAGAACATACAATATGGCTCTTTTATGCGGACTCAAATCGCAAAAAAGTGTCAAAACAAAGCTCTTATAAGCGAACCGTTCCTTTATTCGAGGCTCTTATAAGCGGAGTTTGCCAGTACATAAAACATAGGAGAAAAAAATGGGAAATTGGAAAACGGCTCTTACAGGCGGACCGCTCCTTTATCCGGAGCTCTTATAAGTGGACTCGACTGTAATACATCAAAATTTATATATAGCAAGTCAAGTAACAGATGCATATACGCTGATAAGCTCTCACAGTTGTAGTCACGTTTTTTATTTCAATATATATCTATCATAGTCTTTTGTCGACCTGTTGTGATATTTAGATATATTAAAAAAGCAATTACTTCAAATTATATGATGCTTCCAATTTTCTATTAGATTTGACTTCGTTTGATACAATGAATCTTTCGATTGTTGTAATTATATGTACTATTTTACTTGATTGATTCCATCATATACAAGGAAAATAGATCCTTCGTACTTGATGATGATTTTTCTTTTTATTGATACAACAAGTCCTATATTTCTATTATACGCGAGTTTTTTTAAATGTCTTAGACAATAAAAGTCAAAAACCATACGAATTATAGTCATTTATTGTTTTCATGGCCTTTCTTTTTCTTAGTCGACTAAATGAGAGCGTAAGATGAGTTATAATTATTTGAAATCATAAATAGTTGATAAAATATGTGTGAAGAAAAACAAATATTATCCATAATCTTAGTTATAAATCTAGCATTGCTTGCAGATGTATATTTCAAGATGGCGTCATTCTCGACGATATTTATATATCGGTGTTAGTTTATTATTTTTCTTAACTTTATTTATTCATTTTCAATATTTTACACAACGACTGGATTTCGATGATAAAAAATCACAACAATCAACATATTGTGATCAAACAATTATTCGTAAACATTTTATGAATGATCAAAGGTATTTGAGATAATTTAAGATTTTCATAGATCAATGAAAGTCATGATATTTTTCTTTGTGTTATAGAAAAATTTCTCTTGTTTCATTTATTTAAAAACACTTATTGGTAGAGCTTCATCTTATTGATCTCTAGGAATCAGAAGTAGAATGAGTACAAGTACAACGAATCAAAGTATTTTATTTGTATTTTCACAAGTAGATTGGCTCTTGTACTTGTACGCATACTTACTTATTATTTTGTATATTTACTTGATGTATAAATATAATAAACTTTATTGTTAAAGTTGAATATCTCTGATAAAATTCCTATTTAAGACTATCATGACATCATCTGATGTAAAAGTAAATGAAAATACGAATATTTTAATGGGTTTTTGTTTCTTTTAAATGCTGATCAATTCACTGTAGAATACTTGTAGAGATCATCTATTTTAATTATTGTAATTTTTTCAAAATTATGATGGATATCTATGAATGATGATGCTCGTTCGACTTACTATCATAGATAAATATACTTCTTGATGACACTAAGAAAAATTTGAGTGAACTGAGGTCTATGTTTTACAAGCTAGAACAGATTATTACCTCGTCGAATTTTCAACTCATCGGTAGGATTTCTTGAATATATCTTATACTTCCTTGAAACTTTATGCTAAAACCAATAATTCTTATTAGTAATATTGAACTTAAAATAAATGCAATTTATCAGATCTATGTTGATGCGTGACTAATAAATTAGAAATTTAATAATCGTTAGATAAAATATCTACTTTAACAAAAACTTATAGAGCCATCTGAAAGTCATTCGATTTATCCAACAGCTAATTAGCTCTAAATTGAAAATCTTTCATTCCTTATGAAATACGTTGGAAATATTTAAAATGCTTGATATTCAAAGAGGGTTATACTTTCAAAACTAAGCAACAGTCCGAAATTCGTTTTAAATTTTTATTGAATTTATATATGTACTTAGTAGATGACTAAACTACTGAATCGAGTAAGCTTTAATATTTGAAACGTCTTGCTTTGTCGGCAATACTGAAGTGTTCAGAAAGATACTTCAATTACCCAAAGAGATATTGTTTCGTATTGTAAGTAATAGTATAAAGTACAGATTGTTGTATCCAAGTGCAAGTATGCAAGTATTGATCTTGAGTCAGAACTATAAATACTAAATAAATCTGATAAACACTTTTACTTTTACTCTTATTTAGAAAAGTATAAATCTTTTCGTCTGAGCTCTACTAAGCATATCACAATACCTATACTGATATTGTGACTTGTCTATTGATCGTATTGTTGTCGGTTCTAAATGTACTTTTTAGATGATAATAGATAAATATATATATATGTATTTTTTTTTGTTTATATAAAAGGAATTATAATATCATTCAATAAATCATAAGAGATTCCAAAAAAAAAAGTCTTCATCTATATAGTACAATTGAGAACATATTGAAATAGTAATCGTCACAAAAAAATTTAAAACAATTGAACAAAATAGAGTTTTGACAAGCTAACATGTTGCTCATCATATGGTTATCTTTAATGTCGCAGATCGTCATACTTTTTTGTTGTTTAGATAGATAGCATATGATCAGTAAGTGATCGGAAAGTAGAATCACAAATACAATGTTTGAATTCAATGGCCATAGTTTCCCGTTGTCGACAGAAAATGAACATAAAAGAGTAGAGTCTGTCGTCAAACACGATCAACATAATACTTCTTCTGAATTCCCACGTTTTTCGGAGAGAAAATCTGGAAATCGAACACCATTATCATTGATCTGGATGAAATTTCTACACAGAACACTCATGACATGTTCACTTTCGTTACATCATTCCCATTTTCACGCAGTGCTTTTTGTAGAATAAAAACCATGTGAATCAGTGTGAAACTATTATTAAAGTAAACATGAACTATCTAAATAAACATATTTTTATTGAGAAGATGAAAGTATTGAAAATTATAGAAGGTAGAAGTAGCCTCCCAATCTTGGAAAACTTTTGTGTTTTCTCCAACGGAATTGTAGAGTTTTGTTTTCAACTTTCCTGAAAATCTGTCAATGTATCTTCTGAGTAATCGACCCATCATGTCCAAGTCTGGCGACCTCGGGACACTCATTATAGAAACAAAAGAAATGATAATTTATTATTCGACCAAATTGAGAAACCAATAAAAATAAGGTTTATTTTTTTTAATATTTATATGCCTTGTATAGTATAGGTATGCGTTACACGAATAAAAAAATGACTCAATCATCTGATTGGTGTCTCCACGTAGCAACACCAATCACGTTGCTAAATTTTATTTTAGTTGATATAAGGTGTACAGGGTATCACCTATCGCGCATATTAGTATCAAATTTATCAATATTTTAGCACAAAAAAAAAACTAAAATAAAATATTTAACAGTTACACATTAAAATGAATGAAAATCTGTATCAATAGTTTATACGGGTAAAATTTATATTATATTTTTTAATAATAAATTATAAGCGTACATTGATGAGAAAATAAAATTTCTTATTTAAATTAAAATATTTACATAATAAATAATTTATGTAAATAAGACTTTCAACAAGGAAAAAAAAAACCTTTAATAATGATTATTGAATTCATAGAAAGGAAAAATTAGCAGTTTTTTTTTTTAATATATCTGTTGAATCTCAAAAAATTTATCGAAATAAAAACATGTATCAATGAATACGTTTTATTGATTTTACTTTAAAATTTTATAAAAAAAATAATTTTATATTTTAGTCCCAAACAATTATTTGAACAAGAGCCAATTCGAACAGATTTTAGTTATGAAATAAAAAATCAATATTTTTGTTCCTCGGTAAAACCTCATGCTCTTATATTTGTCGTTTCAAAATCAAGTAATTATGATTCACGAAGTGCTATTCGTCGTACATGGGGTAATTTAACTCGTGTAACATCTTTCGATAAATTTTCTTATCTTCGTCTCAAACTTCTTTTTCTTATTGATATCGATGAAGCTTATTTATTAACTATCAATCTTGAACAAACATTATTTCAAGATCTTGTTCAAGTTCGCTTACCACAACAGTATAGATTATCAACATTTAGAGATATGGCTATGCTACATTGGACAGAAACATATTGTCCCGAAGCAATGATGACAGTAAAAACAGATGATGATATTTTTCTTAATACCTATTTATTAGTTAATGCAATAGATACTATTCTTATGAATACGATAAATAATCGAACAAATCTTCATTGTAACTCTTCGGATACGTCAGCAATTATTTATGGAGTTGAAATTCAAAATGCTTATGTTGTTCGAAATTCCAATGATCCATATCTAGAAGCAACACGTTATATTGTAACTAATGAGGAATATCCATGTAAAAATTATCCTCTTTATATGAGCGGTTTCGGTTATATGGTTAATCGTAATGCACGTTCAAAACTTCTTTGTACATTTTTTCGAGATAAAAAACCTTTTCATATATCCGATGTCTACGTAACTGGTATATTACCTGAATATGTTGGTATACAACGAAAAGATTTAGGTTTATTAATAAGTTATCGATCAAGTGATGATTGTGAAAAATTTTTTAGTGAAAAAAATGCTAATAATTATGCATGTGCATCATCATTACATTATAATAATAAACAAGTTGATATATTTGAACGTTTTAACACATATTGGAACCATATATATAATAATAGACTGTTATATATCAATCGAAGTTTTTTTTCTATGCTAAACTAATAGAAATAAATTGTATACTTATTCTTCTAGATTAGATAAATATGAGATTAATATGGCGTTGTCAACGTTTATTTCTTAATTTAATTTTAGCAGGGATCTATGTATTGATTGGTTTATCATGTCTTTGTTGTATTCATTACATTTGGTGCACAACAAAAAATATATGTACGAATCGTTTTTTATGTCCACGTCGCCAATTAGTTTTACATCCACATCTACTAAACTTTTTAAACAACGATTATTCATTATGCAGTCAACGAGCAGCAAAACGTGGTCCACATCAACGTGTTATTGGTGTATCAGCTTATTTATCTGAACAAGATAATGAAAAATTACTAACAAAAGTATGGACATATTTACTTGAATATATTGCAGAAGCAAAAGAAAAATATCCTGAGTGGATTGTTCGTGTTTATTATTATTCACTTCATAAATCTGAAGAAGAAATAATTCATATTGAAGATAATTATAAAAATGTTGATTTTTGTGATGCAACAAATATTCCTGTACTTGGTAATGTTTTAAATTGGTTACCAGGAAAAATGCAACGTTTTCTTCCAATAGCTGATCCACTTGTTGATACATATATGTCACGAGATATTGATTCACCTATACTTGAACGTGAAGCTGTTATTGTTCGTGGATGGTTAGATTCACAACAAACTATTCATATTATTCGTGATCATCATGAACATACTGTACCAATATTAGGAGGTCTTTGGGGTATTAAATTAAATAAAGAACGTTCATTGATTAATAATGTTTCACAATATTTACTTTCACCTGATGTTGTTAAATGTTATAAAGGTAAAGGTGATCAAAATTTTCTCGAAGATTATATATGGCCACATGCAGCTATGTATGATAAAATGACACTTGAGTTTGATAGTTTTTTTTGTGAAAAATTTCCAAATGCACGTCCATTTCCAACACGCAAAGAATCACCAACACTTTTTATTGGTTGTCGTCGACCTAATTGTACACAGGACAAACATCCAGAATGTCCGAAGAAATGTCGACCTGTTAATCATCCAGATTGGATATGGTGTTAAAAGAAGAAGCAAATTTAAGAAATATCTAATGAATATCTTGTGTTAGTTATAGTTATCATGAAATATTAATTGTCTAAGAAAGGGAAAATCTAAAAGATTAATTTTTATTTCTATTTCAAATTGAGTCAGAGTTGTAACCAGTAATAACTAATAGTCTATTGATAAAGACGATATTTTCTCTATGAGTCTGTCGAGGTTTTCTTCTATGAATTAAATAATTATAAGAAAGATTTAAAATTATTCTCATAGAAAAAAAAAAATACCTTTCACGAAGAGAGTACTCTAACTGAAAAAACTCTTTTTAGTCGAGACTACGTGCATTATGTAGAATGAAATGAATTATGAATAACCTGAAATTAGTTCAGATCCTTAGCTTATTGCTCCGGAAATATTTTTGCATAGAGATACGCGTTAAGAAGAATGATTTCTTGTGAATGTTACCAATCTTGTCGTTATTTCTATTCTAAGAAACAACTATGGTAATAGAATGACGTTCGCATCGTTTATAGGCATGGACAAATTCGTTGTTCTTATTTCAGGGTAGAAGCAAATCAAAAGACCTAAAACTACTCTTGCCAAGGCTTCTCTCAATTGAAAGTTAAAAAACCAGTTTTACGTTTGTCCTGAGAGGAACTATGATATTCATTCAGAAACTACTGTACATTTGCAATATCTATCGAGCAATAACTTGCGGAGTCGGACTTTTTTCAGGATATTCAAAATTTATTTGAATTTGCATGATGCTTATAATTTCGACTCAAAAGCGATGCCTCAGTCGAAGAGCTTCCCTCATCAGATAAAATAGAAAAAGTAACACAAAGAACTATTTAGTATTTATTTATCTGTCTTTGTTATAATTGACAACTCCTAACTATTTATATTAATACAAAAAATAACGAGGTATTTGCTGCTTAATAAGCAAATCAAGAATGTACTATCATTAAATAATTTCCATTTTTAATGAATGTTTAGCGATTCCATACAGTCAGCATGAGCTTACCATTCCGTAAATGTTTTCATTTATTAATAGACAATACGATTGATAAATAGTAATCATGAAAATTGCCGTAGCAGGAAAACTTAAGTGATTAAGAATGTGATGTGATTGATCATTCAATAGTTTTATACTTGTTATATAATAAAAGAAGTGAGAAATACCTTATACTAATCTATCAACCAGACTGACCTAATTAGATCATTTGAATCGATACCAAGAAGAAAAATAAATCTTATCGGCTACAACTCTCGATTCGGTTATACATCTTTTCTAATTCGATACAAGAGCAATAATTTTAAAATTCAAGTTAAAAATCGCAAAAATTTGATAGCCAAAATCAGTTCTTTATATATGAGAGTAGCTTAATTTATGATTCTATCTCATGCAAATACAAGACAGCAGGTTTTGTTTTCTAGATCAGTACCAACAATAATTTTTGCAAAGCATACATATTACCTATCCGTTAGAATACTTTACTCATTCAAATCGAGAAAAGAAAATTGGTATTGAGCTAAGCAGATATGATACCGGTCTAAATCGAACAGATCACACTGTACTGGCTGGTCTAATATTCATACTGATATTGATTCCATCTATGGAAAAAATCTATTTTCGAAAAATTATCCTCGATCTGTTCGTCGGGTTTTCAACATATTTAGATATACGAGAGTCTCGAAAAATAACTTTGATGTTTCAAATTATTATTTAACTTGAAAGAAAATTATTGCTCATTTTTTTTGTACACTCAGTTTTTATCTTATATTAAAGCAATATATAAATGATATTTTTATTTTCAAAGAAAAATCCTCCTGATACATTTTTAAAATCTAAAACTTTTCAAAATCTTTTTTTTCTTCTCTGATTTTTTTACACTGTTCGATATTTATTTTACTAATTTCCAGAATTTTTTTTAAATGTTAACAAAAGCTATTCTGTAAAATATTTGTTAAATAGGCTTTTTATTTCTTCCAAAATTTTATAAAAACATTTTATATGAATAAGCTTTAGATTATATCAAAGACTATTCTCATTCTATTAAGATACATGTAATTCTTTCAAGTGTTACATATTTTCCTTATGGGTTTTTATTATTCTATTGTCTATTGTAAACTACAGTACATTGTGTGATCTATTGTTATTGTTATATCAATTTATTTATTTTTTAGTTGAAGCTCAACGAATCTTATGTATCGAAATAGTTCATAACTATTAGCTTTTGTTTCCGCTTTTTACTTGTTGCACTTTTATGAAGAGTTAGAATGTCATATTTATTTTGATCTTAATTGTAAGTAATATTGTTTTGTTCATGTGTGACATTGATAAAAATGATAAAGTTAACAGAAACGTCGCCGATATATCTGATTTTGGTCGAAAAATAAAAAATGTCGAAAGCCGACCTATGAACATTAAAATGGAATAGACATTATTGTATTTAGTTTTATGAATAAAGACTTTTTATTTTGATGTTAGGATTATCACATCTAAATTTTGGAGAAACACTTTTTTTAGTGAAAAAAGAAAAGTAAAATAATGAAGATAGACAATAAAATAAACCAATTGTTAATACATGAATGCATCTTTATTTGTTATTTCTTCGCAATTAAACATGATAAATTAGTAATAAGATTTGACACATTCATACAATTGTCATCGTATCAATTACACAATGTATTTTTTGGATGCTATATCAATATCCATCGTGACTCGAAATTTACTGCTGTCACGATGGTTTTCAAGAAATTCTTCTATAACCTCTTCCATCAATGCAATTGAAACTTTACAATCTCCCTAAAAAAACTGCCTCTTCTATGGTGGTTTTAAAAAACAGTACATCTCTAGGATATTGCAAAGATTTTGTTCGGATACTTGTTTCTTTATCTGGCAAGAATTTGGTGAAAGAATGAATTTACCACTGAAACTGTTATTCTTATCTTCACAAATGTTGTCTGCTCATGTAGAATATGTGAAAACGTTCTATCAATAAATATTATCAATTAAATTTTTTTCAAAATATTTTAATAGCTGTTGTATCGGATAACCAGATAATTGATTAGCATCAGCTCGTATTTTATTGAAACTACTTATCATTTACTAACGTGAGATCTCTTCTCAAGTCAATAAGTCTGACTCTAGTATTCGTAAACTTCCGGCAATTTCTTCCAAAAATCTTTGGAAATAATAGAGCCGCGGAAGCAGATATCCTCTGATCGGATTTTTCTAGTATTAATCGTAATTAGACTCTTGCTGTCTAGTTCATAACACTTTTACCAGTTTTTCGATTGAGAGAGGATTCGTATTTCTTTAACTAGATCTTCAAATTAATATAATAATTTTATTGTAATGTTTCACTGCAGTAATATCAAATTGTGGAACGTCTTCCTTTCAGCATTTTTACTGTTGAGGATACTAAGAAGAATCGATTCATATGATTATTTTTTGATGATTACATTTTTCTTTATTCAATGTGTTAAATAAATTTAATATCACCAATTTAATATAAAAAATAGCCTATCATGATCATCAGCAAAAAACTTTGTTCTAATGAAAATGTAAATAATAAATGATAAAAAATTTTTGTTTTTCTATCATATACAAGTATAATCAAATAAAATTCACAACTTATCTTTGTGATAAACAAAACCATGCTCTAAATAATTATAAAAACATGATTTTTTTTCTCAATTGATCTTTCACCTGAAATCAAGAATAAAAAAAAATATTTTTTTTTGCATTTAGTTTTTCTTCGTCACGCATAATGATTCCCAGAAATTTATCAGTCATTTACTTGTTATTCTTTTCCTACAATACGTATACGTTTCGAAAATAAAAATTAATGCAACTATTTTTATTCATTATTTTTCTTAGTGTATCACTTATTCAAACACTTGATTATGATATTGATAATAAATAAGAGTATGTACACATAAACCATTTATGGTTAATTTTCAACATAATTGTTCTCGTACATGATTGATTCAAGATGTTAATATTTCTAATAATGATCAAATTTTACATATATCAATTATTTTGAAGTCATTCTTAACTAATCCAACATTATTAAATATTGTTAAATAATTAAAATACAAGCAAAAAATTTATTTTACAGTTTTTGGACGATTTAATTTATATAAATAATAAAACAAAAATACAATTAAATGATACAACATTAGGAAGTTTTTTTTCTTAATCCTTATTGTATGTTAAAAGACAAATGTTTTCTTCCATTAGAAAAAATTTCTCGTATTTATTATTTATATACAAATGAAACAAATCTTAATATAGTTCTATCAATGTCAAGTTATCAAATTTCACCTTTATTTATTCATTTTGATACATGTTTTGATATAGAAAAACATCTTCCAATACTTGCAATAGTTCTTATTGTTATTATTAGTGTTTTAGATTTTATTACAATAATTCTTGTTGGTATTTGTCTAAAGAAACAACTCATTCGATTGTATCATATTAGAAAGAATTGGATAAATCAAAAACATGGTCTGATACCCTCAATTACTATTCATGGTAAACCATCATCATGATATATGAACAATGTAATGGAGAAAAATTAACTAATGCTTATATTAAAATAATTGATTTCAGTTTAAAAAAAAAACATTTTTTTATGTTAATGTGATATTTTCATGAAAAATTATATTCTAAGAAATAAAATTATGAACTCAGTAATTAGAAAGTTGATTTACCCAAAAAAAAAAAAGATCCATCTTTTCAAAAAAGGAGCACTTTTGAACTGATCAATCGGTTTCTGATGAAAACTACTGGAATATAGATCATCGATGATGCTGATTCCGAATATAACCAAAAAGAAATCTCCTTGAGTGTTTTCATGCTTGTTTTCTAGATCGGAAAAGAAAGAGTACCTCTGACTCTCGACTACTTTGTGGTATAGACTACTGCCTAGCAGTTAATTTATTAGCCGGGCATCTTTCCTACAACTAATAATAGGTGTAGCTCTAGACAGGAGACCAATCTGAAGAAGAGTTCTTGCACTCAATCGCTTGACCTCCCTGTACACACTAACTAATGATAGACAAGTTATGAGGACAGGTGTATGTCTTGTTTGATCTGCCCAGATTATAGAATATATCGAAGTATTTAAATCAAATTAACTAGAGAGCTACGGAACGACGTTTTTGTGGACACAAATCCCACGACTCACGTTTTTTCCCACTATTATTTGATACCCTTTGTGTACATGAACAAATGAAGCATCAACGTATTAGCTATTTATTGAATATTGTTAGAAAAAAGTCAATGCACAAGTATGTCTTGTGGTTCATTTTCCCATTACTCAATGTCTAATAAATTAAAAGTTATCACCTAGTTGAAAAGAGCATTATATTAACCAAAAAGGAAATAGAATAGCTATTTGATAAATACAATGCGTCATTGAATGTTGTCAAATCACGTAACACTAAAAGCTTCAGCTATATGAAATACATTTAGTTATATATACGTATGTATACGAGATCAAGAAAGCCGAAAACTACAGATTAACATTTTTATAGGTTCGAGGTCGAATCCAGAAAGAATTACAGTTTCCTAACGATAAGTTTTCTCTTTTCAAACAGTTTTTGTTTGCAGAAAATGCATTCATTTTAATTCATGCAACAAAAAGATATCAATATTTCAGTGCAAAAATCTCCAAGATGATGTTATTTTATGGAATTAAGTTTGGAAATACAGAAAGACTTATTGATCTAGAGACAACTTGATATGTTCTATAATCTGATTGAATCGATAATTATTGTAGAAAAATTTTCGATAGTCTGGGACACCAGTGTCTTAAAAACACCAGCATATAAAGACATAAAGTGATTTCTCATCGCCATGCTCAGAATTAGTATGATCAACATAACATACACCAGCCAGACAGGTTCATAGTATGATATTTTCATACCCTGTCCTGATGTTGAACACACATTGAAAAACGTATCTTGCTCTGTTCTGCTTCAGTAAATTAGACAGAGCATCCTGCAACATCGATTCACTTTCTTGATTGGACTCTTCGATTGAGTTCAAAAGCATGCCTCTGAAAGTGGTGATGCATTTATTAAATGATTATTCTCAAGATGAAATCCAAGGCAAGATGACGTCGTATTTGATGCATCATTAACATCAGAATCAGACACTAATTAAGTGTCATCATCAGAACCAAATGATAAAAAACTAATAAGTTAATCTCTTGTGTTAATTTAGTAAAAGAAAGAGAATAAGACATAAACATACAATTCTTCGATGGTCATTTTATTTATTTATGTTTTTGCTGCCAGTCTCATTCAAATATACATCTCTAGATGAAAACTCCGAAAATCATTTGGTATGATCCTCTGTGGCTATTTTCGATTTTTGACACTCAAAAAACGCTCTTATATCAAACATGGATACTAGAAAACTTGTTGCTCAAATTTATAAGGTAGGAAGATTTGTTTCTGTGCTGTGAAGATGTCTCGTATCAACATCCGATGTCATGTGAATCGATCGTAAATTGTCAGTGAACTGTAGTTCTTCTACTTCAGCTTTTTCTATACGTTGATGCATCAATTTTATAATTGTTAGAAAAATGTCAGATCTTAGTCGAAACCATATTCATTATGAATTGTGAATACACAGGAGCCACTGATACTGGTATTACTAAGTGAATTGTTTAATATAGAAAACGCCGCAAGATTATTTATTAATCGAAAGATAAAATCAGTACAAATAATTGCAATGCCATAGAACACAACACAACATACTGTCACCCATAAAAATTGTCTTTTCTGGAATGAAACCACATTAGTAGAAAAAAAAATCAAAAATTAGTATGAAAATCATAAATTGTCTGAATTGATGGATTTTTTAATAGCTCGAGTTAATGGTCGTTTTTGTCAAAAACACAGATGATATGCAATACTTCAATTCTATAATTATCGGTTAATTTCCTGATTAGATGGCTGTTCTCTAGAACGACGACACTCTACATACTGATTGGTCTAATTAATAGATTACATAAAAGAATGTGGGTATCGTGATGTCGCTGATTCGAAGTAGTACCCTATACCCGGGCATACATTTTGATAAAATGATTCATCATATGTAGTGCGTATTGACGTAGATGAGAAAAGAGGTCATATAATAAGCTTCTACCTATTGCGTCTCTTTATCTTACTCAATGTTAATAACCTTGAGACGAAATAGAATAATGCAGCAAAGAAGATAAAGTAAAATGTTGTTCAAAGCTAACAAGTAATTTAAAATCTTATCGGATATGTAACTTCGATTAATATTAAGAATAATATATATATATATATACGTTAGATAATGCTAATTTAACGGTTGGTGCAAAATTTTTACTTCGATATAGCGTCACAATTGTATATCATGAAAGATTGTTCCATCTTGTATTAGATAGAACAATGTGTCAAGTATTAAAACCTAGAAAAGATTTTCATAGAAAAACTGTTCCACAATGTTTTTCACTAACGTAATAAATCTTCACTCAATAGAAAGTTTATTGTTCTATTCATTCTTTCGAAGTGGTATAATATAAGGACAGAACACTATTATTGTACAAGAAAGAAAATGTTGTAATGGGCTTCACAACGATTCAAATAAACGATATTATTATATACTTTAATATCACTGATTTTTTAATTATTGTCAATCTCTTCTACAAAACAATATTATTCCATATAGAACACAGTTTCTCTTTAAAAGATTCAAGAAAGCATATATTCTCATAATGTCAATATTGAAATACATTTCTCTAATCAAATTTTTATTACTTAATCTCTTGTACGTCAAAATGATTATCTCAATGTCATAGAAAATTATTCATGGTAATGAACAACTCTATAGAGTACTTGAAAGTTATGAAAAAAAAACTTATGCGTAAAGTTATCGAAGAATTTTCTAATGTCTGATATTGTAAGACTTTTCTGACATACAAAAAAAAACATTACCAATCGAAGTCTTTGATTATTTTTATTTGCTCTAACTTTTTTTCCTTTATTGCCATATATTAATAACGTTTTTTCTCTGATTTGTTTTAACACGCAACAACAAATATAATAGATTAAATTTCTTTTATAGAAACACTATTCTTAGAATATATTTTCTGAACCTAATAAAATGTTGAACTATTTAACAACTGACAGCTGTCAAGAGAAGATATATAAATGACAAATGAACGCAAAATGCTTATCATTCATTTTCTTTTGTACTCAAATTCTTTTCTGATCTTATCAACTATATCGAACAATTCAAATTTTGCATTCTGATCTTTAATATACAAATAATGAAAGCTTCAAGATGAACACATAGAACTCTAATTATATCAAATTGAATTTCTACAATATATTTAACTTGAAAATTTCTCATTTCCCAATAGTTACATTCTGATTGAGAACTTCTTTTTGGTCAATTAAGAAAAAATGTCCGCAAAGTAGAATCAACAAAGAGGAACACAAAAGTGAATGTACATTGGAAAATGTCAGCAAATCAATATCGGAAAGAGAGAGACAGTAATGGACGTATTGCAGAACTAAGACAAAACTTATTATGTTGGAAAAAATCAATCATGAAACATAGTTGTATATCTAATTTTTACTTGAGTCATCATCAAGATCATCTTTGTTAGTTGTATTGAATAGATTGATGCATCGATAACAAAAATAACGTCATCTCTTTCGATATATCTTATCTAGATCGAAAGATTTGGATGTGCTGGAAGATGAGAAGTTAATTGACCATGATATCCTGCTACTTGATTGAACTCCAATGAGGTCAATTAAACACTAAAATAAAGGAGGAAATAAAGCATCTTTAATATATACCCGAAGAATATAATCTATTAATTTAAGCTTCCCTTAAAAAGCCTATTTTCGTTAGAAAAATCGAAATTAAGATGATAGCCCAAGGTTTTATCTTTCATAAACGACATGATAGTTTTTTATTTGACATGTCGTTGATGATTTACATCGATTTCTATTTTAGAACAAAAATGCTTTATTTTTAGAAAAAAAACCGTGAAATGTTTTTCGTCTTTTGTTTCTATTTATGTTTTTCTAATTATGTATCTCAGTACTTTCGAAGAAACTTTGTTGTAGGCAATTTTTTTGTTTGATTCATATAGCATGTGAACCTGCAATGCGCATTTTTTTGAATTAAGCTTTTTGATTATTACATAAAAAAGTACTACTATAAATAGATGATTATTTTTCGAGGTATTATACTTCTCATCCTTTTTCTCTGAATAAACAGTAAAAAATTAAAAAAAACAAGGGCATTGCAGTCTAACATACTTTTTTAAATAAGAAAAAACAATTACACCTCTAGAATGAACACCTACAAAGAATAAATGAGCTAGTTTTGATTGAATATCTTCCAAAAACATCATGTTCATAGAACTGAAAATTTTATGCAATTCAAATGCACTGAATCCAAGATCAGATTTCTAGGCAGGTCTTAAATAATTTCGTCCATATAATATTACAAAATGTTGGATCAATGTCTCTTAAATCCAACTATGTAAACTAATCATATTATTGTGTCTATGCTTGCATGTTTTCTTAATGCGTATATTTTTCTTTCCCTTGTTTCTGCAATTCTGATTTACGGACATTTTTTGTCTCTCTCTCTCCTATCCTACTTTCCGGACATTTTTTTTTTCTTCCAATTAAAGAAAAGTGCCCGTAATCAAGAAGTCAAGGAATATGAAATGAATTCTATTCAATGATAGTATTCATTTTATGTGATTATTAATTGTAGATATTATTAGTCTGCGAGTATATTCAATAAAAATTGTATTTAAAAATTAGACGAAAACAAAAAAAAAAGAATAGTTCTGTTGGTTTTCACACACGCATACGCATACACAAATGTCTTTCTTTTTTTGTTTTTACACAAGTTGGACTGGTGTAACATCACCTTTTCTTTTTTCTCAAACGTACATACATATTTGAAAAAGAAAAAAAAAATACGAACAATAACTAAAAACAGAGATGAGCAAAAACGACAAAATCAAACAGAAAAAAAAAAGTTTCTTGCTTCTTTTTAATTTTTTTCAATTTTAACCATTTCGCATACATAGTATGTAAATGATACTAAGACTACCAATGATAAATAAACGAATAAATAAATTTAAAAGAATAATTACAAACAAATAAACAATAGACAAAAAAGGAAAACAATAAATAAAATAAAATCATGTTGGTTTGTCTTGTTGTTGAGGTCTTACTGTTGTTTGTAACGGGGGAGTTGACATTTGAGAGGTTAAATGAGTTCGAAAAAATGCTCCTTTTTGATCTAAAAGAAAAAAATTAATTTCTAGTTAAAATTTCCTATTAATTTACTGCAATCAAGATTTGCTGATAATGAATTATGTCCTGTTGCTCCAGATAAATCTTTTCCACCAGTTGGTTTTTGTCGTCCTTGTATTGTACTTTGTAATTGTTTACGTACGAATTCACTAGTCGATCGAACAGGTTGAAAACTATCAAGAAAAAAATATAATATAAAATCTCTAGAAAAAGAAAACAAAAAAAAAAAAAGCTTTGTGATTTACTTTACCTCAAACAATTCATCATTTGATTATTGAGTTCTTCGGATTGACGACATTCAGCAGGCGTTAAATTAGGTATGGATGGATTCATGAGATTATTTGAATCTAGATTGTATAAATTGATTGATTAAATAAATCAATTCAAAAGAAACAAAATATAATAATAAAACATACTATGTGAATTTTGTTGTATAGTTGCCGAAAGAGCTACACTCATATTAGAATATTGCTAAAACAATAAAAGAAAAAAATTCATAAATAAAAACTTATTAAATGAACATTTAATATTTCTTCGATACCTATTACTAATTTTTGATTTTGATCTTATCGTGTATAACTTAGTTATGGAAGTAATAAGAGAATCATTTCCCTTTTTCTCTCTCTCCTTTCAGATGAGCTCATTTGTTCTCTATATTTCTTCAAGCAGTGTCAAGGTCTTCTTGCCCAATATGTCATACGAAGCAAAAAAGAAGAGAAGAAGTGTTGCCTTGAACTTAGAAGCATAAACGAGAGTGAAAGAATAGAAATTCGAGGACATCCGCCAATGAATAAGAACAGTACTTCTCTTTTTTTTTTTTACATTCTATGTCAGTTACTCAATCCTGATCATGTACACAATCATTAGACCAGAGAAGAGATGAAGAAGAGAAAAAAAAAGGGGGAAGAGAGAGAGAACGGAAGAAGTATGAACTATTTCTTATGTTCAATTAATCGAATTTCTTAGCAAACAGATGACCGACTTATTCACTCAACGTCATGAATACAAACTCAAAGAGTATATCTTTATTATTTATTTGACATATACATACGATCATTACTAATATCGTGTTAATAGAAGCAAGTAAATATTATGTGAGCAATTGATTAACCGGAATTCGTGATCTCTTTTTCTTGTTTAACAACTACCTTGACCTCTTCTATTTATTCTTTCTCTCTCTCTCTCTCTTTTGAGCGTGTGTATCAAAGATGAATATGAACAGATTATATTGAATATTAACTCTTATATAATCATGACTTCCTCGAGAAAAAAAATTGGAATCATATGACATTTAAGTGTAAAGTTTTATCTTTCCGTTACGTTTCTTTTTCTGTTCTTATGGTATTATTTCTTGATTCTAGGTTATTCTAATCAGAAATAGGACCTTGAAATTGTCAAGAAACAAACAAAGAAATATTTCTTTTTTTCTGAAGCCTTGAGTAGAAACATAATAGAAAGAGAGAGAGAGAGAGAAAAACGGAGAAAAGCAGTACGAATGGTTTTTTTTTGTTTCTTGCATTTTTTCTTCATCTATTTTACGTCATAACGAGATTATGGTATTCACTAGTAACAGACATTTACACTTTTCTTTTTTTTTTTTTTTTATTATCAAATATATGTTTATTCAAAATAATATTTCGTGTTTTTTTTATTATCTTCAAGTCATCCTAATGAAGATATGAATATCCAAATATAGAAAAATTCTTTGTACGCAGTAGATCTTGGGAGAAAGAAGAAGAAGAAAAAATGAGAGAATCTAATTAATCAAAATAATGAGCTGCTAACATTTCATAGATAATATATGCAGTTTTTATCGGTAAGTAATAGAAATATAAAAAATACTGATTCAGTTGTTTCCTTTTTTTTATTAAAATGTCTCTTTTTCTTTATTTTTCCAGTTATTTTTAAAGGACGTAAATATGTTGTGAATCAGTATTATTTATTGATCTGTCATTCGATAACAGACAAGGCAAAAAAAATGAGCCGTCATAATTTTTATTATAGACACACAGACAACCTTTGTCATATTTTTTTTTTCTAATGCAAACTAATCAACCAAAGACAAAAGAAAATCTTCGTTTTTTTTTATTTTCTATTCTATTATTGTCATCATATATTGAATGTGTTTTTATATATATATATATTTTCTTTTTTTAGAATAACAATGATTAATATATTAAAAATCGATTTGTTGTGTTTGTTTTTATTCCGTCTTCTTATATCCAGACATCACTTGTATTTCAATGTCTAAGTGCTTTTAATAGTCGAATGGCAATCATAAAAGGTAAGTGTTGAGTAAAAGGAGAAAAATGTACTTTGGACGCGCTTGTTTCTGTTTTTATGTCCTTGGCATTGAAAGTTTATATCGTTTTATATTATTAATGTAATAAGTAGAATTTTTGCAAAGAGAAAAAAAAAAAAAAAACAAGAAATTGTTTTAGAATAGATTATAAAATCCTCGTATGTAGTTTTTATATTGTTTATATTAACAAGAAAATCTTTGATTAGATAAGAAACACAAAGCAACAACTTAATCCGATAATAGACATATTATCTATTTACTATTTTTCTGTAAATATTATATTATTATTAACGATATATGAAGAAAAAAGAAGAATTTTATTTTATTTCTATAAGTCTTATTTCATTATTTCTAGTTATTTAAATGTATGTTACCTTATATTTATTTAATATGTCATTTGTCTTATTAGAGAAAGTCATGAATGTATGTTTTTTTTTTACTTCATATCATTCTTAAAATATCTAATTTTATCATACTAGGTTTCTTATAAACATCTTATAATTAATTGATCTTTATTATGTATATTAGTTTGGTCAAATAGTCTCGTGTTTTATTTTTAAACATGCAAGACTTATAATTTGATCTGATGTAATTATATAAGGATTCTTGTAAGGAAGAGAAAAAAACAAGAAATACAATAAGATGATTGATGACTCAGAAATTGTTCTTTTTTCTATTAATAATGGCAAACAAAAAAAAGAAAATGTACTCTAACAAAGGTTATTCTAATACATTATTTTTTTTGTCGAGTCATATTTTATGAGTAACGTACTTAATCAATCAGATGCAAAGTAGTATCGAATTTCTTATTTATAGAGATTTAATTTTCGATATATAAAAGAAAAAAAATGCTTCAAGATATATAAATATATATATTGCCATGACATAATAAAATCTATTTTTTTAGATTAAAAACAAAAGATAAAGTGTTATCAATGTATAAATAAGAGTGATTCAGATTTAGTTGCGAATCAAAAACTTGAAAATTATTCAATGAATATCGAAAGAATAAATTGAGTTAGAAATCAAATTAATCACATTAAATATATTTGAGAAAGCTATTAGCTTTAATTTTGAAGAAATATCTATGGTCTATTTATTTTTATACGTATAAATTTAATACTTCATCAGATTGCATTTAATCATCGAAATTTTCCCAGTATAAAAACCAATGCAAATGGGTTTTACATTGTACAATGCTTTCATTATATTGACAATATACTGATTAGTGTATATAAATGCTATTAATTGACTTCACAGTATATCTAGATAGATTTCTTAATAAATTTATTCTTTAAACATGTCTTTAGAATTAATGATGTTATTATGATTTTTTTTTCTGTATACGTTGTGATTTATGTCTGTATTTAGATAGTAAAAAATAGTTAAAATTGTGTATTGATCATATTGTAGGAGTTATTGTTAGTTTTTTAAAAATATACCTGATGCATTGCAGCTTGTGGATGTGAAGGAGGCAAGGATGAAGGTTGTGGTGGTGGAGGTTGTTGATGTTGCATAACATTCATATGACGATTTTGCATGGACTGTTGTCCCATAGTTGATGATGGTGACATATAATGATCAGGATTATAGGAAAGATCAAGTGAATTATTATTTGTATATTGATGATAATCTTGTTGAAATTGTGGCATATTGTTATTTGGCATGATTAAATCATTGTATCCATTCATCATAGCTAAATAAATAAAATTGAAATTGACGTTTTTTTTGTCAGATTTTCTTTTATTGTAAAAACATACGTCGATGTGTTAGTTGTTGTTGTTGTTGTTGTTGTTGCTGCTGCTGCTGCTGCTGTTGTTGTTGTTGTTGTTGATTTGTTATCATCTAAAGAGAAAAGAAAATTAATTTGATAAATAGAATTCAGAATAGTCTATTTTTTACATGAGGTATAGTAACATTCATTGACATTTGGAATTGAACTTGTTGTTGATGTGCTGCAGCTCTTTGTTGATGTTGTTGTTGTTGTTGTTGTTGCTGCTGTTGCATTAATGTTTGTCTTTTTACTAGTGATGATGGATGATGATGATTAGCAGGTTGTATTCGTTGTTGTTGATTTGCTGATGATGGTGGCATTGAATAATAACCAGGAGCAACTTGATTTGATGGTGGTGGTGGTTGAACATAATTATTATACATCGTTTGCTGTGGTAGTTGTTGTGAAGGTTGACGATAAATATGATTTGGTGTTTGTCGATGTTGAATATGTGGATCTGATTGTTGAGAATACATCATCATTGAATTTGTATTCATAAGTGTTTGTGTTTGTGATGGATAAGAATTATTCATAGGTGATAATGTTACATTTGGAGGAAATGAACCACCATTATCAAGTAGATCCATTGAAAGACCATCAATAAATTGATTATTCTAAAAAATAAAAATGGAAAACATTTAGTAAAAGTTAAAGAAAAAAAAAAAACAATTAGTTTTTATTACATTTAATGAATATGGAAATGTTGATGAAGGTGGTGGAACAGATGATTGACAATACATTGATGATAATGAATCATGATTAACTGTTCGATTTGATGGAATTGGATTCGTATTTTCATTAAAAAGAAAGTCACCGGTAATAGAATCTTAAAATTTAAGAAATAATAATAATAATAATAATAATAGAAAAATTTCCTTACTAGAAGAATTATTATCAACAGATAAAGGGTCTATAATTGATGATGATGATTGTTGTGATGAACCTAAAGAGAAAAAAAAAACAATCAAATAAAATATTTTCAATTATTTTTTTCTTCTATTTACCGGGATTAAATGAAGTAACAAGTGTTTTATAAATTTCACTAATAGCTTTTTCATCTTTTTCACTACGTTTAGTCATTGTTGATGGATATGTTTGTTCAATAAGACTTGTTGAATTTTGTGATAATATTGAATCAATTGCTGTTGAATCATTTAAACATTCAAGAAAATCTTTATTTTCTAATAATGATAGAAAATCATCATGTGAATTATTTGCTATTGTTGTTGAATTAAATAATTCATGAGCTATAGCAGTTATACGATTATTATCATTAATTGTTTGTTGTTTATTTGTTGGTATAAATGATATTTCATTGGGTTTTTGAGGATCAGAATTTAATAATGCTGTTAAATAATCATCTTTAGATGAATTATTGTTATTATTATTATTATTATTATTATTATTTGATATAGGTGTTTGAGATAAAACAGGTGTTAAATATTGCTCAAATGTATCAATCGAATTATTCATTGATGATTGACCAGAAAATAGAGAATTATCATTTGCTAGTGCTGTTGTTGTATCAAAATGTTCTAATAAATCATATAATGGTCCATCTTTTTTTGTTATTATTGATGAAGCTTGCGATGTACGAGTTGATGTACGAAATAATGATGATTGTGTATTAGATGTTGATGGATTTATATTATTAGATGGTATTGTTCGACATGTTTGAGATTGTGATAATGGTGAATTTAGATTATGATCATATTGTTCAGGCTCAGTTTTAATTGTTGGTAGAGATGACTAAAAAGATCAGATTGTGATTTTTTTGTTTTTTTCGAAACTAATTCTATCTTTAATTTAACACGGGAACATATTCAAGTGTCAAATCGCTTTTGAATCAGAACTATATGCATCATATAGATCCTAATGATCTATGAATACTTTGAAAAAAATTCAGACTATTAATTCATCTCTGCCGAGATATTGCATTTTCACGATATTTTTTAGTAGTATGCTGTAGTTCCTCTCAGAAACATCAAGAAAACTGACTTTTGAATTTTAACTTAACATTTTGCATAGAGAGAGAGGTCTTAATGAAAATAGTTTATTGTAAAAGTTTCAGATCAGTTTGTTTTTTTCATCCTAAGATACAGCTATGGTAAAAGCATGTTTTTAACTTCGCTAATATAGCATCAGTAGATTTCGATGTTCTTATTTCAAAATAGAAGTAATCAAAAAAAAAAAAACGTGAAACTTTCATAATAAACTATACTTGTTAAAGCGCGTGTCTGTGCAAAGTTTCAAGTCGAAAATCGAAACTTAATTTTCTTAATATTTCTGATGGATATCATGGCATTTAATTAAGGCAGGATTTTTGAAAACTAAATAATATATTCTGTAGACAACCACTGAAGTTACAAAATCTTTATACAGATTTTTCAAAAAAAATCGATTTACTTTTCGTTAGCGACGTGATGAAGTACCAAAAAATGTTCTTACCATTGAATGAGAAGTTTCGAAATCAATATTCAATGATACAAATAATAGTCAAATGAAAGGAAGGATATGCCCCATTTTTTATTGACATGGTCCATATATTAAAATATGTTTTTTTTTTATTTTTCAACTAACCTGACTAAGTAATTTAGTAGCGGCAATTGCCGTTGATGGTGAAATATCTTGACATTCAACTTTAAAATCTTTTTGAAGTGCTTCTGTAAGTAATTTTGAACATTTTCTTGGTACTTGTAAATGTTCATCATTATCAGAAGGACGTTTTAAATTCATTGATGTCATATTTGATGTTTGTCTTGTTGTACGACGTAATAGATTAGGTGATGTTTGTGTTATTGGTTGATCAAGATTTGCTGTCGAATCTAATAGAGCATCAAGTGATCCATCTGATAATGTTGATTGTGGTGTTTGAATCTGAGTTGTTGTTAAAAGATATTCCGGTGGCTAAAAGAAAAAATTTTTTTTTTTGAAATTTATTTGTTTTCTTAAATAGACAAAAAAAAATTGTTTACATTTCGTTTTGGTCTACCAGGTTTTCTGGGCATAGGATTATTTTGATTAGAAAAATTAGTTGAATTTTGTCGTTGTTTTTTCTTTGTTTTAATATCAGTTATATCTGATAATTGAGTTTTTAATGTTAAACGTGTATTATTAATATTATTATTTTTTGTTTTATTATTTTCAACTAATACATTTGTATTATTTGTTGAATATTGATGTGTTCCTTGTCGTACACCAATTGCAAATGGTGTATCAACAACAACTTTTTGTGGACGTACTTCATCTTTAAGTAATGTCTAAAGATAAACAAAAAAAAATAATACATGTTAATGTCTATGAATTTGTATTATTGAGTATCAATAGATAGAATTAGAGATTTTGTTTTGTGGATATAGATCCGAAATTCTTAGTATAGATTTCACAGAAAACAATCTTTTGCAGCGGATCTTATAGTATGCTTAAGAACTTCCTTTTTTTTTTGTTATTGTTGTCTGACTGACGAAGAAATCTTTTCAATTGCATCTTTTTGATTTCACTTATTTGTTAGCCTAGAGATATTACGTAATGTTCTAATCAAAGGTCTAAAAGAATTTCGATTCTTATTGATTTTTTGACTAAACTAGAGCCCGACAGTTTCAAGAAAAAAAATACTCGGAATTGAAACGTGTGAGTGTAGTTTTTGATACTCTTTTTCCCTACAATCTAGATGGCTCTAGTTATCAGTAAATAATTGTTGATTATGAGTAAAAGAAATTGAAAATTCTCGATTTTGGTTTGATTTTATTGGGAATCGCAAGGCTCTAGACTAAACGACTGAGTTTGTAAAACATTTACTTTTTCTAAATCCTAGATTTTTCAAAAATTCGAACTTACAAGTTTAGATTTGTAAACTTTATGCATATATAGAATGTAACTAGTGAAAAAAATTCAGAAGCTTTGAATTCAGACATGAAACTATCAAGATCTCAACTTCTTCCTATGGATTTGTATTCTTTGAAAATTTGATTTAGTTCAAAACTTCTGAACTTTTTTTCTAGTTGAATTATTTCTTTGTAAAATGTTTCATATCAAAATTTGTATATGTAAGTTTTCCGAAAAACTTGGAATCTCTATATAAATAAAAAAAGAATTATTGAAAACGAAAGAAAATATTCGAGAAGGTTTTTGTCATGAGTAACTTCTAATCTTTCATTGCTCAAACGAAGAGATAAAACTTCTAGCATTATTATTTCGAATTAATAATTAAACATCAATTGAATAATTTACTCGAAGAAAAATATCGCTACGTTGTTTATTTGTTGTTTGTCCACTTGATGAACTATCATCACTATGATTTGATTCTGTTTTAACAGGTGATGTTGAAAATGAACTTTGTCTTCCTAAAATTTTTTTAAGTAATATATCAGTTGAATTAATTTGTTCATTTAAAGTCGAACTATTTTTTCGTCGACGTTTTGTTGTTGTTGTTGTTGATGATAATTCAGTTGTTAATGGTGATACATGTGTTGTTGTTGGACTTTCTGGTCCTTGTATAAAATCTTCAAGTTTAACATCAGATATATAATGTAATGTTTGTGATACATTTTCATTTGTTGATGGAGATTTATTTGTTAATAATTGTCTTAAACGTGTTGAACCACGTGATAAATGTTGTGTTGATGGTGATGTTAAATGTGATCTTGGACTTGATGATGTTGTATAAATATCATTGTTAGAAAAGAATGGTGATGAATTTTTAGGATTTGTTGGTGATAATAAAAATGAATTTAAATCATTCGAATTTGTTGGTACTGATGTTGGTGAAGAAAAAAATATATCAAATGTATTAACTGGTGATGAAATACTACCATGATTGGAATGTACTAAATTATTATCAAAAAAAAAAAAATGATGAATTTCTTTTATTATAAAGAATTTTACCAGAGCCTAATGTAGGACTAAATGATGTTCGTTTACTACCAAATTCAACAGTATCTGTTGAAGAAACATCTATATGAATAAAAAAAAAAAAAATGACTTTTCTTTTTTTCTATTAGTTTTTCATACTTTCAAGTGTAGATGATTTTTGAGCAATTAATCGGTTTTGTATTGGTGAAGGTGATGGTGTTGGTGGATGTTGTTGTTGTTGCATTTTCTCATTTGGACTATTTATTGTTGATGTTGATAATGAATTTTGTACTTGTATTAGTGTACCTAATGTACTAGATACATGTTGTTGTAAAGAACTTGATGCATGTTGATTTGCTCCTAACATAGTTAAGGCAAATTGTGTACCAATTGGTGTTGCTGGTGATGCTATCATTGTTTTATTTGATGCTGATTGTTGTTGTTTATTTCGTTGTAAATCCCGATTTGATGAAATAATTGATTTCATTAAACGTGCTGGTGCATTACCATTTAAATCATGAATATTTTCAATTAAACTAAACAAATCAGAAAATTGAGAAAATATATTCTTTTATGTTTTACTTACCGAACAATTGTATGTGTTGAGAGTATTGAATCAGATTTATTTGCTGTTGAATTATGAAATAATTTACTACGTGTATTTATAAATGCGTAAACATTATCATGAAGACAAAAACGATATACTGAACTTTTTCCTTCACCTTTTTCAATAACTTAAACAAAAAAAAAAAAAATAATAATAATCAAGAGAATTTTTTATTGTTTGAATATGATTCTATTCCATAAGAGAATGTCAAATCGAAACAAAGTTTAGAATCGTTTTGTTTTACAAGCGTCGTTAACTCTTAAAATATTGAATTAATATTCGACTTCAAACTTTACACTAACAACATTCTCACTAAGATTAGTTGATTGTGTAAGTTTTAACTTTTCTCGTATTATGAAGTTTTTGAATATGTGAAATTTTTTCATGATGAAAAACAAATTTTGTACATCTTCACAAAGTTAATACAATAAAAAATAAAAATTATCCACTAATTACAAACTTTATTCTTGAAAAGTTTGATGTCAAGTTTTTCAACAAAAAAAAACATATATATATATCTCAAAAACAAAAGCTTAGAAAACTAAATCATTCTAGATTTTTCTATTGTTCATCAAATGAATACCCAATAGAGCAGTCAGAAATTTCCTCCGAGACTTGCACACCAATAGGAAAATAATATTAAAAAGAGATTTTTTTTTTGACCAAGAAATATGTATAGACGTTCTTTTACAATGCTATCTCTATGAATATCATCTCGATTGAAAAACGATATGACACTTTAGAAAATTTTTACTCCTCTTATCCTGAAATTATATTTCGTAAGCAAAAGCTCATTGAATATGCCTACGGTGATAATTACTGTCATCAGTTCTGAGGCAAACTTATGTTGAACAACGACGCAAAAAAAACGAATGAAAAAATAAATTTCAGTAATTTTCTTTTTGACTAGTATCTTATGAAATTTCTTATCTAGCTTCTTGCATAATAAACAAAAACTTGGTTGAACTATCCTAAACTCACGTGTAAATGTTGTATTTGTTATAAAATTTAAAAAAAGAAATATTAACAATACTTCTAAGTCAGCAGCATGTCTAGAATTTTGCAAGAGAAGATATACAGAGTTTCTAGGAAACATGAAATATTTTTTTTTCATTATTTCTGATTCATCTTTATATTTTGTTTTTGTTTTTCTCTTATCTTCATCCTGGGCAGTAAATTTGCATAGGCAAAACAATAGAAGTGAGTTCTTTTTTTTTTGCAAGGTGTCGGCAATTAAAATTTTCTTTTCTTTTACCCATAGTTTAATAAAACGTGACTGGTTGATGGTGACAAACGAATTCTTTATGTTGATGAAAATGTTTTTTTTTTTTTTTCGTATTGATATAAAAAAACAAAATACAAGTGTTGTTGCATTGCCTGAGAATATATTTGTCAGCAGATGAAGTGTTACAAAGTATATATTAACAGAACATGTCAAGTTGACACGAACTGAAAAAAACATGTTGACATAAGTTTTATGCGATTGTTATGCTAGTGCCTCATTTTTTTTTTGTAGTTCTCTGCGAAAATTATATCTTATTTTTGTTTTTAATCTTTTTTGTGTTGGACTGTAAAATTAGGGATGGGGTTTTTTTTTTTTGTTCTAAATCTTTTGATCTAATAGCCGGAATTTTGTCTTTATATAAAAAGCGTTTTGTATGATAAAATTATAGTAGTAAATTTTAATGTAAATTCATTGATTTTATCAGTAGATATTACTTTTTTTTCATCATTTTTTTATGCAAAATTTCAGGTAGCATTTGTTTTTTCTTTTGTCTTAGATAAAAATTCAAAAAAAAATGTAAAATCATCAGATACTATCAAAAATAATACATCTATTGGACTTATTTTGATTATGATGTTTTTCTTTTGACAAGAAAATTGAAAATTATAGAACAGAGACATGACTATTTGATGGAAAAATAAGCGATGTGTGCTTTTTACCGTTGTTTATATGATTAACCAAGCAAGAAAAATAGTTGACTTCCTTATCGAACTTCAAAAATAACTTAAAAAAGTCGCTATAGTGCAGTACCAATATGAAGAAACTTCTGGGATTAAAGCTGTTTTAATCCCTTGTCTATATTATTTTTTTAACGCCTTATCCGAGACACATAAATATTCTTAGGAATTAATAAGAAAAAACAATCCTTGTGTATCTTGACAACGATTTTGTTGTTCCCTGCAAAAATAAATAAAGATATCTTTCAAGTTTTTGCTTGTGTTTTTCTTTCGATATGAAAAACTCATCCATTAATGTTAAGAATTAGTTTATCATTATCATCAACTCATGCTCTATTAAACAAAAACATTAGGTTTTAAACATTGAATTATTAACAAAGTACTATCAGAAACTACTTTTATTTCATCTTGAGAATTAAGAAATTCGCTAAAAATCATGTCTCTATTTCCTACTTATCAAATCATTTTATAGTTCTAATTGTCACGTTTACAACGATAAATTAATAGTAAATTTCTATTTTTTCTATTAAGAAGGTTGATGTTATAAAAACAATTAGTCATACATACTTTGATGTATACATAAAAGACTTTCCTACTTTAATTATATTACAATTATCTTTAAGATACTGATCTTCTTTGTAAAGTATAACAAAATTTCTGAAAAAAGAAAAAGAACATAATTCTTATGTTCAGAATAAAAAAAAACAAACAATTCTTTTCGGATTCCTTTCTTAAATCATATCGAATAGTTTAATATTACTCATCTAAAAAGTATAGTCTAAGAATAAAAAAAAAAAAAGAATCTTATACACTTAAAAATATAAGTGTTATTTTTCTTTTTAAGTAATAAACATCATTAACTATATTCATTATCATAGTTGTCTTTTTTCTGATATAGAAATAATAAAACAAATGACTCTGAAATTATTATATCTTACCTTCTTCAAAATGTCGTTCAATTGAAGGAATATCATGATTATAAACATAATCACGAAAATTTTTTCCATGAAAATTCATATCAATTGTTTCACTTTTCATATGACTAGAAAATAAATATAAATCATTTCTCATCTTCTTGTTTAAAAAAAAAAAAAAAACAATTTACCTTGAATCTAAATTTTCAATATCATAATTTAGATTAATTCGTGATGAAAATTGATCAAAACCAAGTAATGATGGTTTATCATTTGGATCATTTAATGATGGTCGTCGAGCAATACATATTAAAAATGTTTTATCACTACCTAATGAATCACGATGAACTGCAACAGATATAACCATACGAACATATGGTGTAGAATCTTTAACACAAAAAAAAATCCATTTATATTTGATTTACAAATAAATATTTCATAAATAAAAAACAAAACAAACCATCATTTGTTCTCATACGACAATGAAATGTACGTCCACGTGACTGAATTGTTTGTTGTTCATTATTGTTAAGAAGTGTTGCTAAAGAATCACCTAATTAATAATAATATTAATTAGATGTATATATAAAATAGACAAATAACAAAAACAAACCGGAATCTTTTTTTGCCCAAGCTTTATTGAATTCACCAATGTCATTCGGATGTACAAAATGATATAGACTTCTTCCGGCAAGTTCTTCCTTTTATAAATAAATTTAAGAAAAAAATATATACAATATTTTTATTAATTCTTTTTGAATAATAATTACTTGAGAAAATTTTAAATACTGTGCAACATTATCGCTAATAAATTCAAGTTCAGAATTATGATTAATTGTAAAGAAAAATCCATCGAGAGCCTAGAAGAAAAAAACAAAAACAAAACAAGTTCTTTTAATTCTATCTTTTCTATTTGTTTTGGTCTTTTTTTTTTTGTAACTAGAATACTATATTATATTCTAGATTATTATTTTTTTTTTACCAATCGAATACTACGTTCAATAAATTGATTGATATTTGTCGATATAGTCGGCTCACTCATGCCCATAATTAAGTTTTTTTATCAATTATCATCAATAATAATCTGTTTGATCGAAAAATAAATGACAGAAGAAACGAAGAGAAAAAAGAAAAAAAAAAACAAAACGATTTTCATCTCCTGTTTTTACAAACAATCTTGTAATCATCATCATTATCGATGTAAAAGTGCGCAGACAGCTATAAGACACACATACACACACACATCAACACTGAAAAGAGCGAACGAGAATGTATTTCAAAAGGAAAGAAAAGAAAAAAGTAACATATAGCGTCTGCAAACGTTTTTCCTTTGTCTTACTGTTTCAATCTGCATAATGCACCCTCACGCGCACACGCATACGTTATGGTGTGTAATAATTTTTTTTACATCGTTGTCATCGCTATTCTTTCAACGCACAAAACATCTACAAGATGGTAAAAAGAATTAAAAAAAAAAAGAAGAAAAGAAAAGAAAAACTAGTAACATTCGTTCATTCATAGATTATTCTTCTCAGTTTGCTTTTTTTTCTTTTCCATCTTTTCTTTTTTCTTCTCTTCGTTCAACATGTTTATAAGTTGACAGAATCCAAAGACTTAAGATTGACTAATTATTCTATCTGTCTCGTCTTCTTTTCTTTTCCTTTTTTCTTTTTGTATCTAGAGCAAAACATAAGAGAGGATTCTTTTAGCTCTTCGTTAAAAAAAAAAAAAGAAACAAAAATACAACAAACAAAAAATACTAATATAAATTTAAACATACTTCAAAAAGTAGTGGTCCAAGTGCATCATAAGCTAGTAAAGCTGGTCTTGATGATGATACATCTGCTTGTTGTATAACAGACGCAGAATCTATTCGTTGTCTATTATTATTTAATGGTGAACAAACAGGTTTTATAATTGTTGGTGATGATGTTAATCCAATATCGTCCATTATTGGAACATTCTATTAATTAGACATTAAAATAAAAACAAATTGCGAGTTGTTTTTTGTAAATTCTAACATAATAGTCTTTAATATTCGTATTTGGAGCAAACAAAAAAAAGAAGGAGGGAGCTTAATAAATGTACTGATGCGTATCAAGGATGTTATGCATATAGGATGATAATTTTTTTTTTTTTTGGTAATACGGTCAAAGAAAAAAAGAGAAAAAGGTGTAAGGTAAAAGAATACACTAACATGGGTTAGATTTGTTTGATATAAACTTACATGATTCTCATTTATATCATTAATTAAGTAAAATAAAAAAAAAAAATGATAAACAATAAATAACTCGATATGTATATAAAATAAAATAAATCGAAATGAATAAACACTATAAACGCTCGGTTTTTTTTTTAATTTCTTTTTCTTTGATCGATGATTTTCAATCACATATAATTTTATATACAATAAAAACAAATAATGATAATCTAAAATAGAAAAATAAAAATAAGGAAGTTTTCTTCAAATTTGTTTTCTTTTTTTTTTTTTCTCTCTATAAAGCAATGAGTGCATCATAATCATCACCCGACAAACACCATTGTATATGATGCATAAGAATAGAATCCTCCTTGAGAAAATATTATAGTTATAGGTCAAATTTTTTAACCAATCAAATAATAAGAAATCATCAAAATTGAAAATTAAGATAATTTTAACACGACGATTTACTGTCTGTATATTTATTATTCGTTGACTGTTTTTTATTTCAATTTTAATCATAACAAAAAAAAAACAAAAATTATTTTCATTGCTAAATGATGGACTATCTGGTGATTGCCTTAAAATATGTTCCAATTAATCATTTTCTTGTATGGTGAGGTACTTTCTGTTGATTATTTGGACGAAAAGACATGATTGAATGAATAGCAGATGCTGCGGGACATATGACGAGTTCTATTTGTACTTTCCAGGAAATTTTCGAGTAGCCCGAAAGTTTTTTTTTTCAATAGTTTCATTGATCAAAAGAAACATAAAGATGTCGTTCTATGAGACAAACAGCGCATTGTCCTGTAAGATTCTAGACGCAAGGATAGGATGAACATCTTTCCTGTGTCATCATACTTCGTACCCATACTCAACGAATTATGTAATCAATAAATAGTTAATTTTATATTTAAGAAAATAAGATTGGTTTACTGTTTTTTATTGATATAATCCTAATAGCACGTGGACTAACGAAGGAATCTTGTCAGATGTATCTTTTCGATTTCAATGAATTTTTTTGTCTATAGACACTACATAGTATTCTAATAAAAACTTCAGAAGTATTTGAATTTCTATTGAGATTCGACCAAGCTATTGAATTTTGAATAAAGTCTCTTCGAAATATGAAACTTTCAAGATATATATATATACCCTTTGAAAATCTAGGGTTGGCTTTCAGAAAGAAATTCGATAGATCAACCAGGTCTCAGTAGGAACTGAAAAGTCTTTAAGGATTTTTATTAGAACATTATGTAGTGTCTATAGACAGTAAAATCGGGAAAGGATATATGAGGAGATTCCGTTGTAAATAAAAATTGAATATATGCAGTAGACTTTGTTGAATAGCATAACATATGTTTTCGAAGATGAATAGTCAATTTAATTTTGTTTTTAGCAAAATCTTACTTTTTTTTCTTTTATCGTTCAGTTCTTCTTAAATCATTGAGCTTCGTTTATTCATAAACTAAAAATATTTATTTTTCTGTTGGGAAAAAGTAAAGTCTGAAAACAAACTAAAAATGTAGTACATCGAAATTCTATCAATATCAGTTATAGTAAAAAATTTCTTTTGTATTATTTGTTCGAACAATGTCAAGTCAGAACAACTCAACAGAACAAAAAAAAATGATGCAAAAAACATTTTGTTTTTTTTTAACCATTGTAAAACAGTCTTGAAGTGAGCATGACAAGGTAATACTGCTTAAAAATAGATGTACTATAAAAACTTCTAGTTCAGACATTTCTCTTTTTTTAGTAAAGATATATTTCTTTCATTTTAGAAGTCATCTATTCAATTTAACAGAGTTGAATATTGTAAAAATGAATTTTATACTACATGTAAAATCTATATATTGCTTATCATTTTTTTTGTTTTTTTTTTTTTATAATGTTTAAAAAATTTCATTGTACACTTTCGTATATTTTCCTTACGAAAAGAATTTTGTTTTACATTTTTATTCGCAAGGATTGATCGGCAAATAAGTGATACCATTTTTACGGAGAATATGATTTAAATAATTATATTATCTCTATTAGATGAAACTAAAAAACTGTGATTTAGAATAGAAAAAACAAAAAGGAAAAAGATTCTATTTATTTAAGTTAATTATGATTTGCTATGAATATTGATGAATGTATCGTTTAATAATATTTTGAATTATGTGTTCATAAAAAAATATCCTACTTTTTAATTTCATTTAAAGATTAAGGTCTATAATTTATTTATTAAGATTTTATTAATAATAATATAGTAAATCTAGCTAGAGACTTTATCTTAATACTGTATGAATACATTTTTTTTTAATGTTTATAGATAATAATCTTAAATGAAACAATAATTATGAAGACAGTAATTATTTTATTTTAAAGTAATGTCGGACTTTTGGACTCAATTAATTGAATATACAAATGTAGTCGAAAATGAAACATCCGATATTGATAATCCTGAACATCTTTTATCAAAACTTTTAACACATGCTGAACATGAACAAGAATTATTAGAAGCTCAAGTAAAAAAAAACAAGAAAAGAATTTTGATTCATTTATTTCTTTTTTTTGTTTTCTTATATAGTTTAATCCAATCTCAACAACAACAAAAGAAAATCTTTCAATAGTATCTCAATTACAAAATGGTATTTCAATGACAAAAAAACTTCTTGAACAACATGAACAACTTCGAATTCAAGAACGTAAATTAGCAATTGAAATTAAATCACATGAAAATAAAGCTGAATTAATTGCACAAGATTTTCGTACAACTGTTAAACGTTTAAATAATACAGCTAGAATTATTGATTATCTTCATTGTCTTGAAACACTTTTAAAATATAGGTATTTTAAATATCTGATAAGAATTCATAAAAATATTTTCTTTCGAATGTTAAGCAAAACTACAGATAATAATAATTATTTATAGAACTATATTTTATATGTCATTGTTATTTATTTTTTTTACTATGATACATTCTTCGTCGAATAACATCAGATTTTCTGTTTTTAGTCTAAAAATAAAAGTCAAAATTGTATAAGAAATTTGACAAAAAACATGAAGGTTTACTTATTAAAAGAAATTTTATCTTTAGATTTAAACTTATTCAAACGTAAGATATGAATAGATAAGATTCAATCATTGAGGTTTTTTGAAGAAGTTTCATTTTTTAACAGAACGATTTGGAAGAAATATTGAAGCGTACCGAATCATACTACTAGCTTTGACGAAAGTTGATTAGTCTAGAGAGGAAAATTGGTTCGAAGATGCGAGATATTTTTTATTGTTTGTTTATAATCTAAGATTAGCACATCTTGTATATTTCTCAGGCGATCTTGACAGTGATCCTTTTAATAATCAAGTTATAGTGAGCTGTCAATTTTAGAAGAAGACTTCTTGTATCAATTCTGCACACAGTCGAAAGGAAATCTTCAGACCCGAACCTAATCGATTCCAGAACCGACAATATTACATATAATGGAAGTTGTTTCTCCTTCGATTAAAGGTTGCTAAGAGAACTGAATTTTTGCTGGGTAATTCAATATAAATTGTTTTTTCTTTTTATTTTTAAATAATCTTACAAGAAAACTATCCGAATTAATACTCGTCGTTTAAGCTTATATTATATCCACCAGGAGGTCTCGGTAAGACTAGGAAAATCCAATATCTCCACGAAAGAACACTTTTTTCAACTGAAACAATCACGATATGCTAGTAGCTATTCAATCTGTTCATATGCAAAATGTCAGATCAAAAAATCGTTATTTAATTTTTCGGTAAATACCTGACGCTGAATCGAAAATTCAGTAAAACGGTCATAATTCGGCTTCACAGACCCATGGACATAAACTATTTTAGAGTTTTTCTAGTGTTACTGAGACCTACGTGTGAGCTCAACATTAGTTCAAACGGTAAATATCAGTTCCAGTAGTTCCTTCTCAGACCATCTTCAACATCAAATATCAATTCCAAAATTTATTTAAAGAGAATTTGTAATGAACCTAACTCATTGGAAATATGTCAAATAAGAATATAAGAACAAAATTTGTTTTTTTACATAATAGAATTTTCATTGTTAATATCTGAAGATATGAGATACTAATTAGAAAATCTCATACTTTGACATTGAACTAGTCTTATTGCAAAATTTGAACTCAAAACTAGAATATTGACTTCGAAGTTACTCTACGATTGAGTATTGCATTTTATTGAAAGATCCATTGAGCCTCATCTTTCAAGTCTCCGTCGTAATAAATATTAATACAAAACTGAAAAGATGTCATTCATTTGTTGTTTTATTATATATGTATATTATTCAGTTGATTTATTAAAAATTAAACAATCTATTTCTAATGCTTTAATTTTATTTCAACTTTAGTTCAGCACTCGAAACATCTCTTTCAACTGAATCACTTGATGAATCATTATCAATCTATTGTAAATTAGCACATCTTACTGAACTTGTACTTGATACATCAACTGAACATTTACGTTCATATAGTGTTAATCTTACACTTTATTGGTATGAACAACTCAAAACTGTTATTGATTCGTAAGTTTTATTTTTACAATCATTATTTTCATTCTATTTTGACTATAATAGAGGTATGGAAAAAATTTTAAATCTTATTGAATTTCCATATGTACATAAAATGTCGTCAAATCATTTAAGTGAATTATTCGATACGAATCGTGATAAATTAAAAGAAGAATTAAAGTATTTATTAAAATTACATTTACCAAATCATATTAAACATGATGATGTACAACCACGTTTACGTTTTATTGGTTGGAAACCAATACCATTAGTTATTCAAATGTTATTAAAAGGTTTTATTACTCGTTTTAATTTTCATTTTTATGGTAAACAAAAAACTAATGATCGTCGAAAAGTAAAATAGATTTTTATCGTAAAAAAAAAACTATTTTTTCTAATACAAAAATTTATCTGTTTTTTTTTTCTAGCCTGAATGGTATCTTAATCAAATAGTTAGTTGGATTCTTGATCATGATTATTTTCTAACGGAACAGTTACAACCATTAATCAATGAATTTTCAGATGTTTCACCTATTAATGTTAAAGTAAGAAGAATATTAGAGAAGAAAATCTTTTTCTTTTTTTTTTTTGTTAACCATAATACATAGGTTGAATTTATTCGTGGTCTTATTGAACTTATTATTGTTAAACTTGACAGTCAAATAACATCAATATTAATTGATACATCATTATTTACACATTATATTGAAGAAATTCTTATTTTTTCACAACGTCTTTTTGAAAAAGATATTGATTATCCATATAATTTACCTAATTGTATGAATTTATTATGTGATGAAATTGTTTTTGAAAAATGGTTTCAAGTTGAGCAAGATGGTTTGTATTTTAAATGAAAGAACATACAATTATTTTTCTAGAATATCATATAAAATGAAAGCAAAAAGCTTAAAAAACGGAATATTATAGATTATTATTTTTTTCCTTAATACTAATAATTAGACAGCATCTTTTGATGATAGATTTTTGGAAAATCAATTCTCTAGATTTTATCAAAAATGCTCATATGATAAAGAAAATATTTATGAACAAAATAAGATGTTTTCACCGATTAATAATCATTATATGATAGGTCTAAACAGCTGCTTTCGATTATTACAATAAAAACTCAGAAAGAATATATATATTTTTTTTCGTTTGTAGTTTCTCGTACAAAATTAGACAAAATATTTCAATCACCAACAGCACATCAAAGTGTTTATGAACGTATGCTTGAACGAGCACCAGATGAAATTAAAATAAGTGAATGTGCTGAAACATTTTTAACACTTCTTCATGCTATGGAAGGTACGGAAAAATAATTCATTATTGTCATTTAATTATCTATTAAATGATACTATTTTATATTAATAAAAAAAAAACAATTAACAATTCGATATTATACATTGATTTTATTTATTTAGATCGTTATCGTCATGTACCTTATCCATCTTGTAGTCTTCGTTTATTTTCGTTACAACTTGATTTATTCGATGAGTTTTTACGTGATTTAAAATTTTCTTTAAATATAGAACAACAAGATATTGATCCATTATCAAAACATTTTTGTTCGATACTTAATTCAGTTGTTTATATAGCTGATGTTATTCAACAATGGAAAAATCGTTCAGTAAGAATTTATATTTGTTTAATTAAAAAGTATTCTATGAAATGAGATTCTTCAAAAGTCTAATCGAATATAAAAGATATGAATAGATTTCTAATTTTAATGAAAAGATGAATCTAAAAAGGAAAAATAAGATAGTAAAAATCTTTTGAACTACTGAAAAACTATTTAGTTTTTCTTTTTGACTCAACTTTAGTGACATTTTGCATACATATATTCTTTTTCTTTCGAAGCATTATCAACGCTTACAATATTTATATGATGAATATAAAGTTTTTATTAAAAAATATGGAACAGATAATCTTGACGAAGAAAATTTAAATATGATTCAAATTGATTCAACATTAGCTCAACAATTTGATTTAATACAATTAAATAAAGAAAATAATTTCGTAACAGCATCAATATTCGATCATTTACTTGAGCAATATCGTGATGAAGAAGAAACAGATTGTAATATTATTGTTAATCATATTGTTAGTTTACTGAAAACAAAAAGTCGACGATATATTAATGAAAAGTAAGATGAAGAAGATTGCTTATTTGAATAAAAAGAAAAAATTCTTTTTGTTTTTTTTTGTGTGTATTTTTATATAGATGGTCAACGATGCCAAATCCAAAAGATTATTTTAATATGAGTATATCACCATCAGCTATTGATATATTATTAGAATTACAAACAATTTTTTCTAATTTATCAATAAATCTTGTGAAAAATGTTTCGAATGAAATACGTGCTAGAGTTACTATGGAATTCGATGAATATTTATTTAATTGGGTATGAAAATTTGATGTTATGCAAGAAATAGAAAATTCTCCTTGCAAATTGTGTTTGTTTGTTTTTTTTTATAGATCGTTAATGACCATACATTTAATGAGGGTGGCGCATCACAATTTCTTTTTGATATCAATCGAGGATGGTCTCGTATTGCCAATGATCATGTGTCACAATTATTTAATAAGTAAGAAAAATACGTTTTTATTTTGTCATGGTTGAATAGAGCTAGTGAATATGTATGATATTTGAAAAATTTTGTTTAATTTTTCAGAAAATCGATTTTTCAGATATAATAACAAAACACATTAATACAGAGTCATATTCAGAAATTTTCGCCGTTGAAATTTCAGTTCTGAAAAAAAAAAAAGAAATAAAAATCTGTATCGAAACAGTATAGTCAATAATCAAAAGTAATTTTCATCAAACTTCGATGTTAAAGGATCACAAGGTCAAAGTATTCGAATATCACTGTGAAGGTGTCTAACGACCGACATTTGACGAAAATTAGTTTTGACTAGCAAATATACTATTCAATGAAAATTTTGGTCCTACTTCTGAATATGATATTCGTTTCTTTTAGAACTGAAGTTCTGACGGTTGAATTTTTCGTATAAATAAAAGTTTGAATTATATATAAATGTTCATTGGTTTTTTTGTTTCGGACTGTTTTGGTATATTATTTACAGTTAGAATAAATCTAAATATACTCAATTCATTGATTCTCTAATTCTGATAAATAATTTAAACATAAGAAAGTTCACTGTTCATATGATATAATGAGGGTGTAGGTGTTGTTAACTTTTGTTTTTCTGTGTACAAACTGTATTACTCATGAATTACGTTTATATTTTAATGTTTTTGTTTTTCGTAGATGTCGTGAATCAGCTTTACTTCTTACAATGCCAATCGGTTCTGCTCTTTTATTAGTTGATGCTTTACAACAAGAATTATCAATAAAATCTTTATCAAATGTTTCGTCTAAGGATTCTTTAGTATCATCTCCGTTGCCTTCTGCCTTACATGAAATGGGTATTCATCATTTAAGTGAATTTGGAGCTGGACAAGTACTTCAACGTCGACTTGATTTAACGAATTGTTAAACAAATTAAATTTCTTTTTTCCTTTTGCTTGTTTTTTTTTTTCTTTAAATTTATGCAATAAAAAGAGATACTAGTCAAACAATATGAACCAAATTCGCACAATGTTTGCCTGAATTAGCAATAGCTAATGTGCGAGTAGTAGGTTCATAATCAAGTCCTTGTGGCCCATAGGGCATATCGGATGTTGACAGTTCAATAATACGTATAAATGAACCTTGACGATCGAATACTTGAATGCGATTATTACCCCAATCTGAAACAAATATATAACCTCGTTCATAATCAATAGCTAAACCAGTTGGAGCTTGAAAAGAACCATTGTTCATTCCCGCTGAACCAAAACTTGTGACAAATTGTCCATGACGTTCTATATCAAATATTTTTACACAATTATTATAAAAATCCGTTACAATTATTTGTCGATCATTATCTTGTTCAGTAAATTTAACGTAATGTGGACCAGCGAGTTCATGAAGTTCAGATCCACGTTTACCAAAACGATGTAAAAATAATCCTGATGAATCAAATAAACATATACTATTTGCTTTATTATCAGCTACAACAATTCGTTGTGATTGATTTGATATACAAAGTCCTTTCGGACCTGATAGAGATTGTTGACCGAATTTTTTCAATAATTTTCCGTTTCCATTTTCATCAATATTCCAAGTACTGATCAAATGTTGATCATAATCAGTTACAAAACATATTGAACTATTATTCAATGTATTCGATAAACCAATAGGACGACGAAGTGCTATTTGTTTTGAATTTGGTGGTGATAAAAATGTACCTGTACAAATACCGGTATCTAATGAAAAAAGTTGTACACTCTGATTGATCGTATCCGAAACAAGAAGTGTTCGAGTAGGATTTGTTATAATTAATACATCTTGTGGATTACTAAATTCTCCTTTATGCCGTCCATGTTTTCCAATTATTCGACAATTATCATTATTATTAGTATTAGTATCATTATTATCTTCAATTTTCGCCGTAGTTTTGACTGTTATTCTTTTCATAGGTTGTTGACGTAATGTGGAAATACTACAAAAGAAATCGATTATGAAATATATTTTCGTTGTTCTTCATTTTTTTTTCTCGATTTACCTGTGCATGGCATATGGTGTTGATGTCGATTTAGTCACTATTTAGTATAGAAAAAAAAGAGACAGAAAAGGTAGAAGAGAGTGATTAAGTGCCAAATGTACACACACTGACTCACAACATCGAATGTCATGAAGAGATTTTGATAACGTTAAACAACCAAAATCATTAATATTTTCTTCCAATTGTTTTTGTTTAACAGGACAAAATACAAGTGTAATATCTTCTGACGTAAAATAAAATTTACAACAAAACAAGGATATGATTTTAGTGTTCTTCTTGTTTTTGTTTCATAGTTAAACTTACTATGTTTTTGCGAATGAATCATTGAATTTGAATGAATATTTACTTGTCGAATAAGTTGTTGAAAACGTTGATCAAGTCGGGCATGCATTCGTTCAAATATTTCATTCATTTCATCAATAATATTCGTATTTTTCGGTGGCATTTTAACTGAATAACAAAAGATATGGTCTTTTCTTTTTAGTTTTTTTAATATTAACCAAATTTAATCGAGTGAGAAATGCACCATCTGATTTGTTGTTGTTTAAAAAAAATATGCATTTTTTTGCTACATGAAAAGAAGAAAAAAAAAAAACTATGCACAATATTCTATTAACTTTCTTTCATGATAATATGAGGCGTCAGATGGCTTACGATCGTATCAATCTTGTCATTATTTAAAGCGACATTTGCATGACTTCAATTTGATCATTGAAGCATAATTTTAAATTTCTCTTACATCAACATATTGTCGTCTGATTCGAATATTGATGATATCATTTTGACTTCAATCAATGATCAGCTTTTATGATGATAACATATCTAAAGAATATTTTGTTTTTCGTCCAGTTGGCAGGAAACATTGCTCTATTTTTTTTCGAATAATATACTATTAATATTTGTTATACATCCATAAATAATATGACTTAAGAAAAAAAAATCCCGTATGCATAATAAATTTGTATTGGCTATATGATACCTTTTAACAGAATGTTATAAAATGATAATCAATTCGATATTTGTCAACTTATCAAAATAATTGTGTAAATATCGTCTTAGAAGATTTTTTGAATAACTTAAGATAAAAATGATGAATTTATTATCTGAAAGCTTTACTTATTTGTTTTTCATTTTCTTTTACATCACGCGCTATGTATTAATGTGTAACGAATACACGTTTTATGTATCTGTCATGAGAACAAAATTTTCGATTCATTGATACAAAAAAGAAAAAACATTTTTTTCTTCTTCTAATATGTGTTTATAAAGAGGGGTAAGGTGTGACATTATATATCATAACGTTTGTGTCGTATATTATAATCAAAATCTAAAAGGAGACGCTGGCATCAATCATAATAGTAAGTGCTATAGATTCTCACTATTTTCAAAAGCAAAAAGTTTGTTGATGAAATATTTCATTTCAATTCACACTGGTTTCTGTCAATTATGATAATCTATCATTCAAATTAACCAATAGACTTGTATTGATTGAGCTCCTAGAAAGAAGAGTCGAGATCTACAAAAACGAATCACTTATAGATCGATGACAGTTCCATATTAACTAATTGAGTACATTCCAATCATTCTAATTCTTTTCAAATGAATAGGATCAAGTGAAAAATTCTTTTTTTATTTTATGAGCTTATGTTGCAGAATATGCCATTTTTATTCGATTCATTAAATTCCTGAATATTTCATTTCGGGTTATGTACCTAAACTACACAGATACAGTGAAATGTAGCTATCAGAAACTACTAGACTTTTCGATTTAATTCTCATAAATCATTCGATAGGCTTTGTCATACATCTATTTTCTAATTGAAACTGTTTGATAAGAGAAGCAATTTAACAAACTTATAATACTACGAAAAATCAAAGAAATATTGTAAAGGAAAGAGGCAATATATTTCTTGCAACAATAATGAAAATGAAATATTACCCCATGTCAAATTATACTGTCAGAAATGACGCGATTGGACAAAACCTTGTCTACATATTAATCAATATTTTGACGCAATATAATAATTATTGTCTTCAGGTTCCTGTGACTGTATTTTTTTATGTTTCAGTTACTTTTAGTACGATGTTCAAAAAGAAATATTATTTCATTCATTATTGTTTAACCGCATTCGTTATCAATATTGTCTATCTTTTTTCTTCATCTCTATTTCATAGGTAGACTGTAAAATAAATCATACAATTTCCATTGACATCATAAACTTTCAATAGTTAATTCATATACATACGAATATATACAAATATTGTCCCATTGAATACAATTATAAAGATAATACAATATCAATGGCGGAGGAAAAACTTTGTGCAAAATGTAAAAAAATTGAATCTGCTGCAAAGTGTTATGGTTGTCAACAATCATATTGTATTCCACATTTTTTAAAACATCGATTATATCTTGCTCAAAAAATGGATGCTCTTCAAGATGAACATGAAAATTTACAAAAAGAAGTTGATGAAAATAATTATGAACAATCATTTCTATCGAGTATTGATACTTGGGAACGAAGAGCAATAAGAAAAATTCATGATATTGCTGAAAAAGCTCGAAATGACATTCAAGAATTTATAGAAAAAAGAAAAGATCAAATTAAAATTTCATTGAATAATCTATGTTCAAATTTTAACACAACTGGAAAATCAGACAATTATACAGAAATTGAAATTGATAAATGGACTAAACAATTATCTGAACTTCGACATTCACTCGAAAATCCAACGAATATTTCTATTGTAGAAGATAGAAAAACTTCTTCAACTATTCGTGGAATTAAAGTTATCGAACAACAAGAACAAGAACAATTACTATGTTCAAATCTTATATCACAAACAAATAATCAGAAATCAGAAGTATTAATCGAACCTATTCAAGAACACTTTGTACCAATGTATGGACCATGTACATTATCTGAAGATAAATGTCTCGTTAAACATTCAAGTTATCGTGCTGGATTATCACAAATCAGTGGTTTTAATAATTATTCATCAGGAAAACATTCTATTGTATTTTTAATTGAAAACAAAGGACCAAAAAATATTTTTATTGGTATACATTCTACATCGAAAGAAGTTTCTTCTTCAACATATGATCGTTCAATTTATGGATGGTGGAATCTTGATTATGTTATTATGAACGGTGATAATGTAGATGGTAATAATAGTAAAGAAATAATTCAAACAGGTGATAAAATAACATTAATTATAGATTGTGATAATCAACAAATACTATTTGAACATCATCGAATTAAAAAACTTGTTCACTTACCCGTAGTAATTAGTGATTGTCCATTTCCTTGGCAAATACTTATTAGATTGGTTAATTCAGGTGATTGCATCCGTATTCTATCATAACTATATAATAAACAATTTTATTTTTCGTTCTTTTTTTTTTTTTTTTTGTTTTTTAATATATAGATTTTAAAAAAATTGATGAATGAATGCAATCTTGTTAAATAGTTAACATTAAAAACAAAATACCTACATATAGAAAGGATTCGAACTTGAAAATGTCGAGAGTTGAGTCTACCATTTAAAAGAAGAACTATTATCGATAGTATATGAAATGGAAATGTTTCTATTCGTGAGCACCGTTAAGTGTTCTGGATACGTGAAATCTTTCTTGGAGTGGATAACTCGAAAAATTGTTGTAAAAGATGCAAGTGAAATATATCGTCAAACAAGAATTGATCAACAGAAAAAACACTGAATGACGTAAATGAATTACAAAATAATTCAAAAACACTGAATTACAAAATAATTCACTTTCTATTAGTTTCTACCAGGGTCTACTAGAGTCTCGATGTGGGTGCTGCGAAACAACATACATCACATCTTTCTCGTTGTGGGTGCCGCGAAACGACTTACATCACGTCTCTCTCGATGTGGGTACCGCGAAACCCTGGTAGACCCTGGTAGACCCTAGACCCTGGTAGACCCTGGTAGACCCTGGTAGAAACTAATAGAAAGTGAATTATTTTGTAATTCAGTGTTTTTGAATTATTTTGTAATTCATTTACGTCATGGTCTCTACTCTTACATTCAGTCTGGATGATAAATAAATTTTATTCTGTCAAGCAACAATTTCAAATAAAATACTTCTAATATTGTAATTTTTGTATTCAGTAAAATCTTTGGCTTGCTTTAAATACGTAAGGCAATACAGTAATTGACAATGGCGACGCCACTCATACATCGGGAGTAGAAAAAAAAAGAAAAAGAAATCAGTTATAAAAAATTTTTATTCTGTCCGTAACTAAGTGATGCTAAGAGACATGAATGGCAGACTGTTACAATAAAACAAAATAGAAATATTCTACATTCAATCTTCTTCGCTACACTTTACAATGAATCGATCAAATTCAGGACGTCGTCCTCCACCAGATCCAAATTCAATCGAAGCTAAATATTTATCATCTACTGTAGGCAAGTATCGAATTCCTTATTTTTCCTTATCAGATTTTTAATCATTTTGTAAATATAGGACCCGTATTAATTCGTGGTTTAACTGAAATAGTTGAACGTCGTCCAAATGATCCTATTGAATATTTAGCCACATTTCTCTATAAACAAGTTCAAAATACACGAGCACAAAAAAAAGTAGAAAATTTTTTTCAATTAAATAAAAACGTTAATTTTTTTGTTTTCTTTCTTTTTATTCTTTTATAATAGAAAGAAGAAGAAGCAAAACAATTAGAACTTGAACGACAACAAGCTGAAGAAGAAAAACAACATCGTGCTCAACTTAAAAATGAAATTCGAGCTTTACGTGAACAAGAAGAAAATGAACGAAAACAACGTGAAGCCGAAGAAAAACGTAAACGAGATGCAGAAGAATTAGCTAGACGGTAAACAAACAAATAAGAAAAAAACATTATTAAAAGATATAAATGTCTATCTTGTTTGTAGACATAAGGAATTAGCAGCTGCACCACCACCATTACCTGCTGTACGTGAAGAAGATGATGTATTTGTTGTTGAATTTGGTGAAACAGAACTTCATCGACAAGCTGCTGTTCAAAGTTAGTACCGAAAAAAAAAAATCTTTATCTTTTTCTTTAAAATATATTTTAGATGCTAATCTTTCGGAATTACTTCGTGATAATTATCATTCAATTGCATCACGTAATGCTGAAGGAAAAACACCAAGAGATGTTGCTCTTGATGCTGGTCTTCAAGAAAATGTTGATCAAATTGGTTTGTATCATTCTTCTTTTATATATGAATAAATGTAAAAAATTGTCTTTTTATTTAGATACTTTTTGTGTTCAATTACTTCAAAATGGAAATACAAAAGCAATTAATGATTTACTTTTATGTGGTTATACAGAAATAATAAATCAATTAAAAACAATTGAAGATACTGACGAAGACACAAATGATTTCATTAATAATGAAATTCCTCAATTATTAGTAATTATTTTCTTTCTTTTTTTCTGTGGAACACAATCTAAAAGGATTGTTAAAATATATATAGTAGAAAGTTGCATCCTTTCGCTCTCTCTCCTACCGGTTATGACAAACAGAATACCCCTGTTTTTCGACTACTTTGCGGTTTGGCGTACTGTCATTTTAATCCTGTCGATGTTGTACTAACAGTTTTTTTTTTGTTTTGTTGTAGGGAAAAATCAAACAGTTAAATCAAGCAATCAAAGATGGAGATATAGAAACAGTTGATACAATGATATCTGATCGTAAAAATTTTGCACTTTATCGAGATTCTGAAGGTTCATCATCATTACATGATGCTATTGAAAATCGTCAATATAATATAGCATTAAGTCTGTTACAAAAATATCCATCATTAGCACTTGTTAAAGATATTGTAAGTAGAACATAAATATTGATTAATGTGAAATGAATCTATTTGAAAATTTTAGCGTGATCGAGCAAGTCTTGATTTACTTAATTCAATTGATGAAGATACTATAACAGATGAACAACGTGATGCATATGATCAACTGAAAGAAGCATTAATATCAACGTCAGCAGGTCAACAAAATGATTAAGAAGAACTATTTATTTATTTCATGAATTTTTTTTCCTTCTTCTTCTTCTTTTTTTTTGATTTTCACATTAAAAAAAACAACCTTGTATCTGAATTGACACAGACGTGATGAGCAAAAGCTCATACAAGTATATAGAAAAAGAAAATGAACAATAACACAAACAAAGAGATTACATAGATTTAATTGCCTGTTATTTTTGGTATAAATATAAGAGCAAGAAGTCCTCCAAGTACAATTGCAGATATTGATGCAATTATTATAACCATACAATATTCTAAATGAACAAAAAGCAAAACTTTGGTTTTTTTTTAAAGATTAATAGCATAATGGGAAAAAAGAAATAATAAAGATTATTCTTAACGTTTGTTAAGCTGTCGTGACAGATGGCGATCAGGCTCTAGCAATACATATAGAAAAATGGACCGAAAGAGAAGAAACAAAAAAAAAAAGAGTTTCTACGGAGATCTAAATATAGAAAGAGGCTTAGTAGACACGAAACTAAAATAGATCAGGAAAGTTTTACAAAATATACACATCTTACATATCGTAAACAATTACTAAGTTTTTGATACTACATATGTAGTGCCTGATATTCGACAGCTATTAACCATTGTAACTCTCTTCCTCTCTCTCGAATTTCAAGTCCTTCGATGAAATTTCTTATATATAATTTTTAAAGATACTTTATGATTCGAATTCTGTACTTTTTTCTAATATGGTCTGAGAAAATTTTTTTCAGAAAACTTACTATCTTCCCAAAAGAATTTATCATGCATTTTATGTGCCATATTTTTCATTTTTTCAGCATCACGAAATAAATCTGTTGATCTCATATCAAGTTCTTCAAGACGAAGATTTCTAACTAAAGTTTTTTCATATGTATCTGTTATTATATTCATTAATCTATCAACTTTATCTTGTGCATTAGCTATTTGTTGTTCATCAACAGGTGTTGGTATTTGTTTAAAATATTTTACTCGATCATCACCACTACCATTATTAGCATATGACATATTATTAGATAATTGATTAGATTCATTGATTGGCATTTCGATCTGTTTTTGTTGTTCTTGTTTATGATTATCATGATGATTAAATAGATTAACCACATATGAATGTTTTTTATATTTTTTGAATTGATTTTTTTTTCGTAATCGAAGACGAAAACAGAATTTCATCGATCATCAGTCATGTCTGTTCACAAATATATATATATATATAAATACATAATATAAACAGTTAAATAGCCTTGTGCGCGCCTCTTATGTATCCTTATTCCCGCTTTATTCTCTTTTTTCTTTTTTTACTTTGAAAATAAATTACGCACAGCCTTTCTTTTCATATGTTTTCTATCTTCCCATCATCATCAGTTGCTTGATTTCCTCGAAAGAAGCTTTACTATAGGATCAATGAAAAGAAAAGAAAAAAAAATCTCTAAAGGTCACCCCAATAAGATATTCGATGATAAAAGGTTGATGAAAGAGAAAAAAAAAAGAATTTATCGTTTTGTCAGTCTTAAAGAAATGAATGAAAGTGAACTTCGATGTGAAGATTCTCTTCAATCAGTTAAATATTTAGGTAAAGAACCTTCATTATATGCTCGTGGAATAGGTATAGCAATTGTAAGTAAAAATTTTCTATCTATTCAATCTTTAGTTTTTTTTTTTTAATTATTATTCCAGGAACCTGTACGTATTGTATGGGCACGTTCAAAAAGAGGCTCACTTTATAATCGTTGTGCTATATCAATAGATAGATTTGGTTTATGTATATTTGAAGAAATAGCTGATGGAACATATAAAAATGTTTGGTGTGATGCTATTGAAAATATATCATATTGTGTTGCTGAACCATTACATCGTCGTATATTTGCATGGATTGCTCGTTCACAATATTCCAATGAACTTGATTGTCATGTTGTACTTTGTAAAACAAGTAAACAATCACGTTTACTTGCTGATTTATTAGCAAAAGTATTCTATGAAACATATAGTTATGGACAAAAACGAATAACTCATTTAACACCAAAATTATCAAATCATTGTTCTGTATGTGATACTATGATTCGACAACAACAATTAAATAATCCTTCATTATTAAATCGAAATTATTCTCATCAACCATGTTATAATGATCATATTGAAGAAAAACAAGAAAATAATAATTATGAACATAATTCATTTCAAGATTCTATGGTTGCACGAGCTTTTGTACGAAGTTATGAAGAAAATTCAATGAATAGCAGTAGACATCAAAGTATTGATTACGATTCAATATTATCGGATAAAAAATCAATTAAACCAGTTGAATATTATCGAAGATAGATATTTTAAAACGAATAAAATCTATTACAAGATGTTGATTTATGTATTAGAAACAAGGACAAAATCGAACATAGATAGTAACGTATTGCTAAGCTCATATGACATTTTTCTTGGCGGTTCTTTTTTCTTCTTGTTTTATATTGTTCTTATACTCGAAATGAATGAATATATATATATATATACATATGTCAAAACACCTGTGCAAAATAAAGCATCTACATAAGCTGACTTGATATTTTAAATAAATAAATCAGAATTAGTTTTTTATATACAACAAAACTATATAAGCTAGTTGAACGGCATTAAAAAAAATTCAAACATTTGATACAGGATAAAACCTAATATATTAAATGACAACATCAAGGATTTTGATTAAATTAATATGTTAAGATTTAGTTTTGGTTAATTTTTTTCTATTGTCAATGATTGGCTTCGTTGTATTAAATAATAGACAATTTATCCTGAAGCATAAATTACATTATAATTCATTTGAATGTTAACAAAATAATGAAACTCGAACAAAGATCAATGTTAGTAACCACACCCTTTAATTTTAGAGTCTTTAACTATCTCAATAGTTTTGAGAACTATACAGAAAAAACTGACCGTTCAAAATTATCCCACCAATAGTTCTTTACAAACGAGAAGTCAAAAATATGTGTGACTCAAAGAACTATGAGTTTTTCAAGAGTTCAATAACTCATTGCCTACTATGATTAGTTTTTCATTTGAAACGCACACATATGTCGATTATGCTTTCAGCTATAACTGATAAATAATGTTGTTTCAATCATGAAACCATGTATAATTAGGTAGCAAACAAAAACACCTGCCGATAGAATCAAAGTGAAGAATCGTTTGAAAGCTGAAAGGCTGTGGGTGTGAGTATAGTAAAGGCTAACAATGACACATCAACACTCACCCTCGGAGTTGTTTTGTATCAAAGAAACTGCCCAATCGGAAAAGTATTCGAGTTATACTCATCATATAGTCAATTCTAATGAATAACTCATCTAATTCACAACTACTGAAATCGCATATTATCGAAGCTTTGTCCTGACTTTTATTGTTTAAATTTCAGTTTTATTATGTATCAAGTAAATGCTTGCTACAGCTTTTTGTAATAAAGCTGTTCGATTCGATTCGTTCTAGTGAAATAATTAACCGACAATATTCAATATCGTTGGATGAATTTGACTAAGTACATGTCAATCGAATATAGTATTCAATTTTTGATTATAGAAGATGTCTGCAGTGAATAAACAAATAAACCAGAATGGATTTTGAAGAAATATAGAATTAACATAATTCAAAAACTCAAAGAATAGAGTTTTTTTAATCTGTGAATGCGAGAATAACTTACTTATCAATGCATGATAATGATCATTCTCATCAAAAAGTGTCTGATAAAAATTTCAACAGCCGAATTGTGTCAGTCGACATCAATTTTTGCCGATGTTAGTTTGCGTGCAAAGTTACTTCTGTATCTTAAAAATAATAAGATGATCATTGAATCCTAGAAGAAAAATTGTTATTTAGTCTTAAGTCCACATAAGAAACTTTTATCTGCAGAGCCATATTAAATTTTCATAAACGAATAATAAACTGAAAATATACACTGTTTTATGATTCAGTCTGAAGAAAAATTGAAACTTTTACTTTTTTTTCCCGAGATGTTGCGAAGTCAACGAGAAAAAAAGATGCACGAAGTCTGAAAATGCTACATTGTTAATTCAGATTTTTACGCCACAGGAATCCAAATATTTTTTTGATCATGCTCATTATATGTGTTTTTTGTTAATAAAAGGCATTTTGAAAAAAAATAAATGAAGCTCTTATTATTTTTTGAATGTGACTACCCATGTAAAAAAAAATAACCGGAAAAATCAGATTTTAATCGATGTTATTCTGATTAATAATCGATTATAATGGCACGATTTTAATCAGACTTTAATCCGATTTTAATCATAAAACTCAGATTAAAATCTGATTAAAATCATGCCATTATAATCGATTATTAATCAGAAAAAAATCGATTGTATGTAAAAGTTTATAAAAATGAATTAAACTCGAGTTGCTCTCAGTTTCTTACATGGCTGCCTTTCAGTCAATTTTCATCTATTATTGCTTCCTAATACATTTTAATCTATCTTTTCCTGTTTTCCAATTTTAATCCATCGTTACTTGTTCTCCGATTTTAATCTTGCTTACCTGTTTTCCCATTTTAATACATTTTTACCTGTTTTCTGATTTTAATCTTTACGTACTGGATAATCGATTTTAATCGTTTGCTTCGAAAACAGGCGGTTTTACCAAGATTCGAACGCGAAACCCTAGTTTTCTCATGAGTTTTCTGGATTCTCCGTGGCAAGAAACCCTTAGGCTGTTGCCAAGCTAGTGCTTGACATGTATACTAAAATTGGAACTCCTATATAAATTGAATCAATTGAGATTGCGCACTTACATAAGTAATCGATTAAAATCCAGAATAATCGATTAAAATCAATTAAATCCCATACTAATCGATTAAAACTCACATAAATCCTTTAAAATCTGTTAAATCGAGAGATTAATCGATTAAAATTGATTGCAATATTAATCGACAACTTGTGTCCTTGTAAAAGCAATTAGCGTAATCGCTATGGAAACAAAATGTGAAACATACAAACCAATTCT